CTTCAGTACAGGTGGCAATATCGTCACCTGCCTGCGCTCATCTCTGAAACCAGACCATGTAAACAGGCTGGTATTTCTTGCAAAAAATCTTTAAGAGATGACATGAGCAGCCCTACCAGCATTTGCCATGGTGGCCTAAACATTTTTATTTGGTCTTAAATTGTAGTTCAACATTTATTTCCTGTTACTTCTGGACCATGACGGTTGGCCAGCCTTCAACGTTTAACTGAGTGGAATATGTTGAATATGTTTTACCAAAATGTTGGCTATATGTTAAGGAGTTTTCAGTAGGTTGTGACAGTGCACTGCAACATATTTGATTTCATTTATTTTGGTCTAATTTATTTGTATTTATCATATTAATATATGTTTAGTATGGTTTTGGAAGTGCGCTCCAACACATTTATTGATCTTGTTTATTGGTAAAATATTATTTTGTTTTAAAGTTCAATAAATGGTCAATGAATAATCATCAAAATAATCGTGATATCAATTATTGACCAAATAATCGTGATTATGATTTTTGCCATAATCGCACAGCCCTAATATGGGCTACTACCGATTTATTATTCAGCATTAGCACAAACCAGAAGATTGCCTGAAGGAGAGTGACGGTCACGACTGCATTCCTAAAATGTCAGACATTTGGAGGTAAAAAACACAACACCCAGGCTAATAGCTGGATGTGCTCAAAACAATCTAGTGATATGTTGTTATAAAGCGCAAATGCATCTGTCGCTCAAAGCTGCCTGTAACTCATATTGTAATGTTTTAGTGTTATTAATCATTTTGGTTACAGCCCTGATATATTAAACATACAGTAGCTAGCTCTTATTTCATGTAGCATTGTCCTTGTGTGCCCAAGACAAGAAATAATAAATAAAAAGACCAAATGCAGTACTCTGTGGTGCACTGCTGTGTAACTGTAATGTTTGCTTGGATGTTTCAATTCATTTGTTTGAGAGTTATTTGTTTTTGGATTGCCATTAAAGCAAACGGCTAATACAACAGGTTGTTTTTTCTCACCATACTTTCATCCGCCAGTTTCCCTTATATCTCTCTCCCACAGAATCTCCCCCTTTATCTGACTTTTTTCAGACCTATCAGGAAGCCTTGTAACTCCTCTTGCTGTAATATTGACATTGCTGGAAACTAGTTTAACCTTACTGTGTAAATGTTAGTTGTAAAGAAATGTAAGCGTCCCTCAGGTTTCTGTTTGACAAACCACAACCTTTAGTGCAACAAACCCAACCCGATAGCTCCTAGCTGAGTGAGGTCAGTCAAATAACTACATCTAGAAACAGACTTCTCTAGGAGAAAAAAACGTTAGACCAGGAACTTAAATATGAAGTTGAAACAATGAGTCTGTTATTTGTATTCACTCAAAGAAGATATTGATTTCCCTGTTCCCTGTGTAATTTTGGGTTTTGGGAACTTGGGACATGCATTTTACCGACTCCTGACTGATTTTGTAGACTAATTAATTCATAGAAATAGAAAATTGACAGACAGAATTAATAGTTGCAGCCCTACTGAATATAGAGGTAGAACCCCTTGGTTCCTAAAAAAGTTTCTTATGTTCCTATAAAATTACTACACATAAAAAGAGGTGACAGATGTGATACAAGACAAATGGAGAGCAGTTATTGTATTACTACGAATCAAAGAACTTGGAGAAAAGCAGTTTTTTGTGGTTGAAACAGGATGTGCATATGCCCCAAACAGTTGTGGTTTATACGCTATAGTCCAACTCAGATGGTAGCAATATACGTCTAACTGTATTCCAACAGTGTTTGACTGACATTTAATTTACCAAGGCATCATACAAATGTGTAAACTGGCATATTGAGACAAAAACAGATTGAAAGGCAGGTTCTCAGTTGAGGAAGCCTGCAACTGCAGTGTTAGACAAATAAATAACTATTGCTAAGAGTTTATAGCTGCAGGTATGCGTCAATAGTCAGTCGTAGAAAACAATGTACCTCCATTTGCATTTCAAAGGCTCCGACACAACAAGCCTAGGTTGGCTTCCCTCAAACTTCAGGCCCTTTTGATTGACAAATACAGAGTACTGCTGCTCCCTGATATGAAAAGTAATGATCTTTCCACACATGCGCAGAACCTGCATGCTAGTTTGCCATTGGCTGTACTCTTTGCAGTGTATTGACAGGGAGAAAGCAGGCAACACGAGGCAACGCAACAGTTGGATTCATCATTAGAATCAACAGGTCAGAGTCTTGTGACGCAGAATTAGTCATTTGTAATATCAACAATATGCCACTACTTGAGTCCCCTAACAATAACACTCATGACAAACAGGTCACTGTTTTGTGTTTATGTATATTTTGAATACATTTTGAAACATGTGTATATATATATATATATATATATATATATATATATATATATATATTCTGCATTTTGTGATATATGTTTTGTATCGGAAACATTCAAACCAAGGTTCATAATGTAATGTGAATCTTGTTTACTGTTAGAACCCTAGTACTTTGAAATGTGATCAATTTCAGGAATAATAAAAGTCCCTTATTACTTATTTAAAACATATTTTTAAAGGAGAGGGGGGATGTTTGGCCTAAAGATTGGCCCTTCAGAAACTATTAACCCATTTTACCTGTGCTCTGCAACACTTGGCTTGGATAGTGCCAAATATTGTTTCTGACTAAAACACATAACTTCATCCCTAAATATGCACTTATCATGCATGACCACATATAGCCTACATGAGTTAGTTCCTCATACAAAGCAAGCCAAATGGGGACAATTTAACTATTGATTTGCATCTAGCATGCAAACACTGACAAGCAGGACACACAGCTCTTAAAAACGACACAGTCCGGTTTCAAGCGAGAGGAAGTTATATTTAGCTGGATTTAATACAAGACATTTGTAAACAAATCCCACTCAAACAGTAATACTTCCTGCTCAGTGAATGTGAAAGCCATCTCTTCCGAATTAGCCGCTTGTCATAAGCAGATAAGTCACTCATCCAAAATGTAGTAATGTTTCAAAAAGCAATGACCTCCTTGAACCAGGACTGATCTCTTCAGTGGGGTCATGTCAGGCCCCCAGCTGTCTAACCACAACAAAAAGGGGCCTACACAGCCCCTTTAAATCTATCTTGGCCTACAACTTGTCTCAATATTACAGAACACTGCCCTCCTTACTAAAAACCGTAATGCTAATTGTTCTGAACAGCACGTATCCCCCTTGATAGGTGGTTCAAGAATCTGACTTGGTGAGAGTAAAAAGACGCTGCTCGATTTAAAGAAGGAGTAATTACAGGCTGCTCCTGCTAAAATGGCTATACACAACTAACATAAGCTCTTATAATTGTATCCAAGAAGACAAGAACAACAACCAGAGCCAAAGCGCTTTATAATGAGTAAAATGTGTTGCATTTAACCACACGTCACCGGTTATTAGGGTTTAACTTCATGTATGTTGAGCTAACGCTGGTTAGCTCCTTGCTAGGCAGCTACTTACATATATGCATTTAGAAAAAACAAAAACACTGCGACGACAGCCATACACAACACAATTACACGAGAATACGGTCATTGCGTTTGCATAAAATGAATTCCGTTCGAGAAATATTACCTCCTGCAGCAAACGTATAGTCCTCTCCTTGTTTTTTTTAATCGATTTGGTTTCGTTTTGTAAAAAAAACCCTGTATGGATGTTGCTCTAGCATTAGCTAACTGAGGGCTATTTAGAGTCACGCCCCACCTCAAAAAAAACAGGGTTTGTGATTGGTCAAATCACACGGATAAAAGTATTCTTGTTCATCAACCCAACGATATGGTTGGTTTATTTGGTTATAGACACACACATCAACCAATGGCAGAAGACGCTCAGTACTACTTTGCTTACCATAGATAGTGTGTGCACGTCACGCACGTCGACAATGCCGGGACTGCTGTGTTGACTATGAGTCAAATAAATATACTTTCAGTGTTATTAAACACATTTCTCTAAGAGTTACAGCTTGTTCCAAAACCCTGAACGTGCTCTTATGCTCGGTATCTTATCCATTTCCTTCCAATGTAATTGTCTGAGCGACTATCTCAAACCAGATTAATCCAATGATCTTTGGTAGCATTACAATTCATAACAGATCCTAAAAAAACATTATTTTTTAAACAATATATATAATTATTTGTAATTGTATAGGGAAACATTTTTAACGTTTATAGATTGTTTTCATGCTACCTCTTTTGGTTACAATAAAACATTAAAAAAATATTCAGAAAAAAACCTACACTAATATAAAAATTATAAATTACTTTGTTTATATATTCCCAATTTTTCTGTAGAAGGCATAAGCAATCTGATACACATTTTTAGCTAAGTATTATACATTTTGGTAGCATTAAAATGCACAAAAGATCCTAAAAAATATAAATCCAAAAAAATCACAGATAATGTATTTGTACAGGGAAATCTGACACATATTTTATATATAAATAGGAATAAGTCAATATTTTTGATATTTCAAATACTTAACCAACCCTGAAGTATTTATTTTTCTTTCCTTTGAATTTAAGGCATACTTTATTTATTCCAGAAGAGGAAATGTAGTTTGTTGCAGAATGTATAATTAATATATTATATTTATACCATCATATTTCCTGCAATTTGTCCAATGAAATACTGGAATACTCTGAGAATTCACAGCATTGATTTCTTTAGTAAAGAAAAAAGGCGACACAATTGGAATTATAAAAACATACGTAGATTAAGATAAACTTCTAGAGTAAATTGACTTGTTTTCTGAGTCTTGAGGTCCTTTAAACATTGAAATTGTGAAGTTTGAAATCAGTTCCACACTTAAAATGTATTCCTGTAAAGTATTTATCTTTTCATTTTTCATCAAAACAAAGTTAATTCCAACCCACAGCTGAAACCTTCAAGATTACAATTTAAAATGGTTTTTTGGGTAAATGTTCCTAAATACAGTACCCTTAAAAAACACAAACAAATTTCATTTTCACTTTTTTATTGAATAACACTGAAAACGTATTGACAATTTTTGCACCAAACTTGTGCAAGCAATTCTAAAAACTACATATCAAAACTAAAATGGACAAAAAAAAAAATGGATGGCAGTAATAGATTATAAAAAGATGAAAAGGTACAAATTAAATGTTTTAGAAAATACAAATAACGTTTCTAGACTTAATTAGGCTGTGTCGGGGATAATGTCTAAATAACTAGATAGATGTGTCCTACATAACACTCTTTGTTAAGCACTTTTTGTTTTTCTTTGGACTTCATCAAAGTGAACATTAGCATTAGTTAAGGGAACAATATCAAACGCTGGGAGTAAAATCACGGTGTAAGGCGTTAACGGAGTAATGGCGCGATTACGAAAAGGAATTAAAATGTTTTCTTTAACTACATGGCAGATCCAAGGTAAAAAAACGATAGCATTGAAGTCCACAAAACTTGCAGTTTTATAAATCATTAAAAAAATATATTAAGAGATTGATTCTTTATTGCCTTTGCTGAAAAACGCCCTTAAGGCAGAGTAGGCAGAACCAATGATCATCGCCCGCTGCTGTAGCCTGGGAAAAACTGAACAAGGATATCCTGCAGGGGTTTGTTGATGTTCATGGAATAGTTCTTGCCCAGGTCGTACCTGCAGGCCGGGCAGGTGTGCACGTCTGCTTTGAAGGATCGCTGAAGGCATTCCTGAGGCGGAAAGAATCAGACATTTCATTTAAATTTCAGGCCCTCAAACTTTGACATTTCATTTCTAAAAATGGTTTCTGCATTGTAGCCAGGTGGGTGTAAGGCAGTGGCGAGCCGTCAGGGGGCCTAAGATATTCTAAAAAATAATATTTGAAAACATTAAAAAAAAAACGTTTTTTTAAAAATATTATTTTTCATATATTTTTTGTTGTTACATTTTTCATTAGTTTTACCAAAATAACTTGATTTAATTGTATTTAAAATAACATTTCCAAAGAAATAAATCCTTCGAATCTGCCTGTTCAGTTTCTGTTGGAATGTGAAGGGTTAAATGCCGTCTCTGCGAGTTATGTGAAGACGGGAGAGCTTGTTGGTCCCTCTCTACATTCACAGAGGGCCCGCTATAGTAACTCAACGAGAGAGTAATGTCAAATGACAGTACAATTGACCAATCATATCTTCCCTCTAAATGGGCGGGCGCTATTTTTGCGGACTTTATGACAAGTTCCGCCCGCTGTGAGGTCTATGCAAGTGGTGCAGTGACGCATCCTAAAACCCGGAAGTAAGCTGCGCTCGGATTCCCTCGACAGAAACCAATGGGATTTCTCCATAGGATTTTGGAAAATAGCCCGAAATAAGGTCTGTGGAACGTACTTGTTAGATAAATGCACGTTTTGTTCAGCCGGATAATATCCACATGTCTACCCTACTTTTATTATTTTCGAATCATAAATCTAAACGATAGATTTATGATCGATAGATTTATAATTAGCATAAGTTCGTTCATGATGGCTCACTTCAGTGATGACATCGTTGCGAAATTATTAACCGAGTCATTTTCAAGATTGAGTTACAATGATAAACTGGAGTGGCAAAGGATCAGCTGCATGATCCGCCATTAAGTGCTTCATCCAAAAGGACAGGAGGATGGACTTTGTGTTTAAGTGATTTGATCATCAAAGGTAGGCCTAAGTCATTTTCAATGTGGGCCGCCGTGCCGACTTAATTCATTTGTAATTGTTACTTGGCTGTGGGTGCCCTGTCATGATAGGTGTTTATATAAATTATGTTGTTTTGTGTGGTAGAGGGTCGCTGTCATTGATGCGTTTTGCACCCGGGGCGCTGTTTTTATATTCCGCTGAAGTAGCCTATACGCTGTGACGTAATATCTCTTATTTTTTTCTGAGGGAAGGGGGGTCAGAGGGCCTAGGTATAAAAGTCACGGCTCGCCACTGGTGTAAGGTTGGTTAGGATGTCACGTGAAGATCAAAAGCTGTTTAGGAAAATGTTTATAACCCAACCACTACAGCAACATAATAAAATAAAGACATATTTTAGGTTGTATATCAACCAAAAAAAACAACAAACAGTGTTAGAGCTATGATTCTGTTGCTGCATACAATTAAGTGATAGTCAAAAACTCTTGTTAATCATCAACGATCGTTCCTCACCCTGCAGACATTGTGTTGGCACTCTGTGGTGATCGGCTGAAAGACAACCTCTTGGCAGCAAATGCAGAGGAAAACTTCTTCGACTTTGTTCAGGAATTTCTGTAGGAACGACAATAAACATTTGAAAGCGTATTACAAACTACCCATTTCTGTTGCCCAAAAAAACCGCCATTGCAAGATATTCTATCGAGTATTGTATGCAAGAGCACTGTTGTGATTTTACCAATTAAAGTCATCACTAGGACATCTCTTTCTTGTCCAAGGTCTAACGTATTGGACATACGTGTCCTTTCAAATTGAAATGTCACATTAAAATTCCTCCAAACATAAGCTGGTAACCAAATACACAGTAATGCTCACCGGTCCAAGTGACAGTGACTCCATGGCTTCATCCCACAGTTTCTTGTTTTGCTTGTCATTCTTGATGAAGGTTTTCTGTTCCCTAGTAAGCTTGTACATTTCTAGCTTTATTTTCTTAGGAGTTTTGGTTGGTGAAGACTTGGGGGATTCTGTAAGAAAGAAACACATTTTAAATGTACTAGAGTAAAAGGGTGGACGGTTAGAATGTCGAATAGCTGAACGCAGGTGGCGAAAAACAAATCTCCAGGTTCACTTTGAAATCTATAAAGAGAGACTTGGCCTTTATAACTTGGAATTGAAAAACGCACGACAATCGTTCTTCTCTGACATCATTACCAAAAACAAAAACAACGCACGTGCCTTGTTTGCTACCGTCGACAGACTAACTAACCCCCCAGTGTCAGTAGCCTCTGAATTTCTATCCACCAGGGCGTGCAATTATTTTGCCTCCTTCTTCACTGACAAAATTCAGAAAATCAGACAAGCAGTCAGTGCCTCTGCATCAGGAACAGCAAATGTGTTGTCTCTGTGTCCACTTAACATCAATTCAAACACCATGACACAATTCCATCAGATTAATGATAAAAACCTAGAGGACATTATACAACTTCTGAAATCCTCCTCCTGCTGCCTTGATATTATTCCAACAGGATTTTTTAAAGATGTTTTGCCTTGCATGGCCTCAGATCTACTTCATATAGTAAACAAATCTATTCACTCAGGTATTTTTCCACAGGCCCTGAAAACTGCAGTCATTAAACCGCTCTTAAAAAAGAATAATCTAGATGCTTCAGTAATGAACAATTACAGGCCCATATCAAAATTCCCATTTCTAGGTAAAATCGTTGAAAAAGTTGTTTTTCAACAGTTGAGTAATTTCTTTCATTTAAATAACTGTTTCGATGTGTTCCAGTCAGGCTTTCGTCCAAACCACAGCACTGAGACTGCTCTTGTAAAGGTCTTTAATGACATCCACTTAAACACAGACAGTGGCAGAACTTCAGTGTTAGTATTATTAGATCTCATTGCTGCGTTTGACACTGTTGACCACAACATATTACTCGACCGACTGGAAAACTGGGTGGGATTTTCGGAAACAGTTCTAAATTGGTTTGAATCCTACTTAAAGGACAGAAACAACTTTGTTTCTATAGGTAAATACACATCTGAGTTGACAAATATGACATGTGGGGTTCCTCAAGGCTCCATCTTGGGGCCTCTTCTCTTTAACATCTACATGCTACCACTGGCTCAGATAATGAAGAACAACAAAATAAGTTACCATAGCTATGCAGATGACACACAAATTTACGTAACAATTTCACCAAGAGACTATGCTCCAATTCAAACACTGAGTAAGTGCATTGAACAAATCAATGACTGGATGTGTCAGAACTTTCTCCAATTAAACAAAGATAAAACTGAGGTAATGGTTTTTGGAGCCAAGTCAGAATGTATAAAAGTTAGCGCTGAGCTTCAGTCTGCAATGTTCAAAACAACAGATAAAGCCAGAAATCTAGGTGTAGTCATGGACTCTGACCTGAGTTTCAACAGTCACATTAAAACAGTTACTAAATCAGCCTACTATCACCTAAAGAATATATCTAGGATTAAAAGACTAATGTCACAGCAGGATTTCGAAAAACTTGTCCATGCTTTTATCTTCAGTAGACTCGACTACTGCAATGGTGTCTTCACAGGTCTCACTAAAAAATCTATTAGGAAGCTGCAGCTGATTCAGAACACCGCTGCTCGAGTCCTCACTAACACTAAGAAAGTGGATCACATCACTCCTGTTCTGAAGTCTTTACACTGGCTTCCTGTGTGTCAAAGAATAGATTTCAAAATACTGCTGCTGGTTTATAAAGCACTGAATGGTTTAGGCCCAAAATACATTTCTGACCTCCTGCTAAATTATGAACCATCCAGATCTCTTAGGTCTTCAGGGACTGGTCAGCTTTCTGTCCCCAGAGTCAGAACTAAACATGGTAAAGCAGCGTTCAGTTATTATGCTCCAAATATCTGGAACAAACTCCCAGAAACCTGCAGGTCCGCTGCAACTCTGACTACTTTTAAATCCAGGCTGAAGACTTTTCTTTTTGTCGCTGCTTTTAATTGATCTATTCATATCTTAGACTGCACTGAAACTTTTACCCATGTATTTTTTCTTTTAATGTTTATTTTATTAGCTTTTCTTTTTAATGACTGATTTTAAATGCCTTTTTCTTAATGTCTTTCATTTTTTGTAAAGCACTTTGAATTGCCTTGTGTTGAAAAGTGCTATATAAATAAACTTGCCTTGCCTTATACTTTATAGATTTTACACAGAAATCAAAACCAATAAAATGTCTCACCTGATCAATTATGATAACATTGGCAACACTACAACTTATATTGTACACCAAAACAAACCAATGCATAGCTTTTGGGCTGATCTGCAACAGTTTCATTTGAACTAGTGTTGAATATTAGGTAAGAGCAAAAACATACCGCTGCTCTGGGATTTCCTCTTCCTCTTTGACTTGCTGGGTGTTTCCGGAGACTCATCCGCAACATTTTTGTTCTCTTTCTCCTTCTCTTTCTCTTGATAGCCAGCAGGATACTGAAAAAAATATGAAGTCCATTTAATTGAAGTTATGCTACTGTTAACCATCAGCTCAAAGCACAGCTAACATTAGCATCCATACTGACATGTTCAAGATATGCTTTTCAAAGAAGGCCATTCTTTAAATCAATTAAAAAGAGTTGCATTCTACACAGAGGACACAGTTCATTTACACAAAACATGAAACCCTCTTGCTCTAATGTAGCTTGAAGGATCATCTCTACCTGTATGGTGAGCCCGAGCTTCTTGACGCGGTCCTTGCCATCTCTCGTCCACGGTGCCGGCTCCTCATCGTCACGCTTCAGCAGATATCGCCACACCAAGAAGCCAGACTTCCCTTTGGCTGGCCAGTACTTTGCAATCTGAAGGAATTCAATGACAGAGTAAGACTACCAATAGATGCCCAAAGTCACAAGATTATTTATCGAACTTCAAATAATCAAAGTAGAGGTAGTTGTTGGGTTACGAGTAATTCAATTGTTCGGAAACCAATGCATGCTCCTTATTTATTTAGATCCATGCAGTTGAATAGTTGCAGTTTGAAAATTAATTACATTTCTATAAATTCTAAAAAAATAAATTAAAAAAATGCAGATTCTGTCCAGTGTATCCTCATACCTTATATATCCCATCATATCTGTTTCCTTCCTCAGGGGAGTATTTACTGTGTTTGCGACCCTTGCAGCTGCGCACGACTCTAACTGGTTTTCCCGCCTTCCAGTTCTTTGCATCGGCTCCATTTTTGTCGTTGACAGGGACGTTGCAGTTGAGAGCCAGCGCCCTGTTGAGAACCAGAGTGAACAATTTAGATATAAGAAATGAACTCTATGCAATAACCAGGGTTCATACACTTTTTCACCAATGATTTTCAATGACCTTTACCTAATTTTCCATGACCAAAAAAAAATGACCACTGAAAATGTTTTATTTTAACATGGAACAGGAAAATAAGGTCTGCATATGAAACATGTTGTGCCTACCTAAAACAAATCAAATAGTAGGCTTACTAGCTTCTACACGCTAAAGCAACTGTAGTCAGGGATGCAAAGTCATCAGGTATGAAAAAGGTGACAAGGACCCGACCCCTGACCCCACGGGATATCGGCTTTAAAATGAGGAATAACAGGATGTTAGCAGTCAGAACAGCTAAAGCAGCAGGTAATAATAACAGAAACGACAAAGAGTCACATCTAATAGAAATATATAAAAGCATTTATTTTAATTGTGTAGCAGTCAGTTTATAATTCTGGCAGCACTGTTGAGCATTTTGAAAATGTATTTTCATGCCTCTGTTCAAGGCTTAGTCTTTCTATCTGTATAGCCACTGGTGTAAAGTAACTACGTTCATAAACTCAACAAGTACTATACGTGGGTAACATTTTTAGATACTTGTACTTTATTTAAGTATTTCAATGTTTTGCTACCGTGTACTTCTACTCTACTATAGTTCAGAGGTACATGGTGTACTTCTACTCCACTACAGTTCAGAGGTACATGGTGTACTCTACTCCACTACAGTTCAGAGGTACATGGTGTACTTCTACTCCACCACAGTTCAGAGGTAGGCTACATTGTGTACTTCTACTCCTCTACAGTTCAGAGGTAGGCTTCATGGTGTACCTCTACAGTTCAGAGGTACATGGTGTACTTTTCCTCCACTACATGTATTTAATACCTTCAGTTACTTTACAGATGTGGATGAATGATGTGAAATATAATCAAGTGTTGAATCAGACTTTAGTTCCACCTGGAGTAAATTCATAAGCTACCCTGCACTATACAAAGTCATTCAAACTAGCTGCACCTTTACCAGCTTTGAGAACACTTTCATGATCAATCATTATAAAACATATATTATTCTGAAATGGACCAATCTGCACAATGACTACTTTTACTGTCGCTACTTTCACTATATTTTGATGATAATACTTTTCTACTTTTACTTGAGGAACATTTTGAATGCAGTACTTTTACTGTAACAGAGTATTCCTACACTGAGTACTTCTACTTTTACTCAAGTACAAGATCTGAGTACTTCTACTTTTACTCAAGTACAAGACCTGAGTAGGCCTACTTCTACTTCTACTAAAGTACAAGATCTGAGTACTTCTACTTTTACTCTAGTAAATATCTATACTTATACCACCTGTTTATAGCCTATGAAAACTAGAAAACGAAGGCTAAAGCTAACGTTAGCAGATAGTGACAATGCTAGCTAGCTAGCTCAACGATTCCTTAAATAATATTGCGACAGAAAAACTTTTCAGTTCACATCACGCTCCGACAGGGAGCTCTGCTCTGTGAACACCTGAACAGCCCGTTTTAACAGCTGTTCACCAGCGGTGCAGTCTGTGCCACAGACTCTGCACAGTTAACGAACGCACCGTAGATAATGTAGCTGACCCTCATCCCGGAGCAGCAGAGTTCAGCCGGCCCGACAGGCAGGAAGACTCGAGCACACAGCTCGCGCTTCATATATACATAACAGCTCTCGACCGCAGATTATTTCGGCGATTAGATCAAATGTAAATTATATTTGACGCAACTTTAGTTACATTTCCATGACTTTTCCAAAACTTTGGGAGATATATTGTTTTCCATAACTTTTCCAGGGCCTGGAATTTGCATTTTGAATTTCCATGACTTTTCCAGGTTTTCAATGACCGTACGAACCCTGAATAACTGAAAATGCAGAAATCCTGTTAACTATAATGAGTCATGTCATACCGGTTCATGTGGGTAAGTGTCTGATCACATGATTGCTCAGCGGTCCTCTTGTTTCCGGAAAGATCTCGCCCACCAGAGCCAGTGTATGTGAACTCGTTACCATCATCCTTTAAGAAACGTAAATATTACAGACATTAAAACATCTAAAAAGTCTGGCTTCAACGTTAAGATTAATAGAAACACATTTCATATTATAATAAAAAAAAAAAAAAAAAAGAAATTAACAAAGCATACCACGTCATCCTCATATCCTCCTGCCAGGACCAGAGAGAAGGCCCCGTCGTTGCTCCTGCCGTGGATCCCAGCTACATGAGGCCTGTGGACGCCAGATTCACTGACCTAGAACAGAGTTTAAACATCATTGGGGGCCACTAAACATACGAGCACTCAAACCGTGGTATTGGTAATCCTCTAGGATTCCCGCTGCGTGGACTGACCTGCACTCTGAACTTCCACAGGGAGCCGACAGGAACGCTGGGGATTGGGCCGTAGTGGTTTGATGGGACGATGGTGCACTGCGTGGTTCGACCAACACAGGCCATTCCCTGGAGGGGGAGGAGTAAATGGTTGCCATTAAAGTATTTGTGTATGTAACACCAATGCAGTAAACTAAACACATTTTAGAAGATGCACCAATACTGATATTGTTGACAGTAGATCAATGGTATAGCATACAATGACTTTAATAAAAAGTAATTGCTTCTGCAACCGGAGAAATAATTAGCCGTTTCCTCCACACATCAGCGCATCCAGGGTTTTTAAAATGTTCTCTTTTTCATTATTTATTCTTAAACTATTACATAATTAAACCGGGTTCCCCTGGGCCCCACAACTATAAGTGACTTATTCAAAATCATAATTTTAAGAAACATAAAAAGAAAAAGAAAAAAGAACCTCACCTTGCCCCAGTCCCTCTGGCTGGTGGAACTGGCAGAAGCCATCTTAGACTTCTTTTTGCTCTCCTTCAGCTTCTCTCCAGCCAACACAACCTCACTGGCGTCATTATGGCATCCTGGGCAATACCTGAGTCAGTATACAGAGTACAGGTCAGCTAAAGCACAGTGTGACAATAACAATTAATGGCCAGAAGCATGAAGCGATGCCACAAAACAGCTACAAACTGTGTGTTCGAGCACTTTGAGATCCTAAAGCAGGGGTGGGGAACCTCCGGCCCCCGGGCCGTATACGGCCCGCGAGACCATTTGGTATGGCCCTCGAGGTAATTTATAAACACACGCAAAAAAATCAAAAAAATAAAGAAATCTAGACCGCAAAATAATTAAACAAGCGAGTGCCTGTTTTTCCTGGCAACGGTCATGGTCCTTGAACACTAGTGCTGTAGCGACGCGTCGACGACTTCAAAATATCGTCGACGACATATTTTCGCGTCGCCACCATAGACTGTATATATGGTCGCCACACACACGTGGGTCACCCAAAGCAACAAGCAGTTCGCAATCGCACTTCTAACACAATGGAGACTGAAACGGCTACCACCTCCTCCTCACAGGATTGCGCACGAAGCCCTCAAACGAAAACATCTCGCCCTAGGTCTTCAAAAGCATGGGAATATTTTAAAGTTAGTCCAAAACGCAAAGATATTTATATATTTATATCTCACTGAGACTGCAGCTGGACCGGAAGCAGCAGCTAGCTGTGGTGGCAACCATTAGCAGCTAGCATTTGCTCTCCGATTTTTACATTAAAATGGAATTATGGATTATAAATTCAATAATTTTTTTATACATAGACGTTAAAAACCTATGGATTAACCGATTCAGCCGCGTTTTTTCTCATTTTAATGCCATTGAACACGTATTTTGATCAGATTGACAGCTACGGCGGTGAGACGATCTCCCTAGAAGCTCTGTGAAGGTACGTGTTGTGATGACTGTATTTGCTTCCCCTGTCGCGAGTCCGGATCACTCAGTGATGATACTATGTACCTACATAATCTGTGGAGTCTCAGCTTTAATCGGATATCTTGTATGTGCAGCTACGATAAGTAATAAGGGTACTTTTATCTTGAGTTCTGTGCCAATGTCCGTTAGCATTTTTCGCTCAGGGGTCATTTAGATAGCATTTTAGTTTGCTTCTTATGAGACTTGTGTTTTGTTTTGTGTTGGTAAACATGGTTTGTATCGTCAGTTAGCTGAGATTATTTCCGTTAATCTGGTATAACACATTAATAGGTTCTTAAATATTAAGATCCCCTGAGACACAGTATCGTGAAAAAAAATTTTTTTACATTACGTTTTTTTTACATTACGTTTTTTATGAATTGAACAATAGAAAAATAATCGTTCGATTAGTCGACTAATCGATCAAATAATCGCCCGATTAATCGTTTTCAAAATAATCATTTCCCCCCAGCACTATTGAACACAACACGAGCCTAACGTGTCATCACGTGGTATATGTCTCGTCTGACAGGGGTGCAATTCTGACAGAGAGCACCAGAACGCTGCTCCGGGACTTCAAAAAATGGCAGTACCCATAAGTCCGTACACATGCTGCAGTTTTTGCGTGGCTTAGTCTTTAGTTGAAAGCCCAGTGGTGATCTGTTCATCCGTCATACTGATCATAACTTTGTTGTTATTAGCATCTGGTTAGCTCGCTATGCTAACGAATATAAGAAGCCCTTTTCTCCAACCAGTGAGGTAAAGGCACATCTTTATATGATCATTATAGTTATCAAAACATAAGAGAATATAGTAAACAGGTATAAAATACTATATGACAGTAAAAAAAAGTTGTTATTAATAAACAAGAATACAGTTTGAAAGGAGAGCGATTTGTAAAATATCCATAAAGAAAAAGTAAATCTGCTTACAGTTCTGTTTCATATGGGTGTTGAGAGATGTTTCCATAGATCTCTTCATTTTGCTCTCAAAGTGCACCAGATTGATGCTTTCAACTTCAATATTTAAAAATAAATCTTCCCGCGGGAGCATGCCCCCCTGGACCGCCCTAGAGGAGGTTAGATCCCCCCCCCCCACACTTAAATCATGTCCACATGGATAGGAAACTAAATACATTTGCACACATCTTGTGTCCATATCTTTCTGTTTGGTGATCATGCCACAACCATGCACGTGCATGCATGCGTGAGTCATGGCAAGATATCTGGATTAAGAGGTTGCTTTTTCTTTGCACAGCATGAAAGAAAGGCCAAATGAAATGGGCTGTGATTTTAAGCAGAGGTCAATAATTTGTGCGGCCCTCGGAGGATGTTGAAAAAATTTAAATGGCCCTTGAGAGGAAAAAGGTTCCCCACCCCTGTCCTAAAGGTTCAATACATGAAGGAGCAGTATAGGTTAATGACATGTATTTGAAAACTCCCTTCACAATGACAGGTGACCATTGCCACAAGACAACATTGTACTTATATCTTCACTCATTAACAAATGACTGCTAATTGCTAAACTTTAAATGTCAGGATATTTGAATATATACATCAGAATTTGAGTTTAGCATGATGCCACTGACCAGTCCTCATCGTCAGGGATGGAGGTGAGCGGGGGGTTCAGGCAGTAGATGTGATAGGCCATGTCGCACTCATCACACAGCAGCTGTTTGTCGGGATCCTGCTTGATGCCGCAGACGTGGCAGTTACACCACTGGCAGTTTTTCTTGAGATTATCTTTGCAGTGCTTGCACTCGGGTCCATTTGATCCTGGAGAAGAAACACATTTCATTATATCATCTAATCCGTTTCTTTCTACAGCATTTTCATTAGGGGGTGTAATAGATACCAGTTAACACAATTAAACCTACTTTTCAGCGGACTCTCGGATCCAGCGGGTGTTTCATCCAGAGAACCAACCTCCTCGATTTTGTAGATTTCAGTCAGGAACATGATCCGACAATCATTAAGAGAGTCACCAGCATCACTGCAAACAGAGAAATAGATGTCAATATGGCCTTCGTAGTACTGGCACTTTTTCATGCTTATAATGTCATGATATAATATATATGATATAATTATGTTATGTTAATATGTAATATATATACAGTGGGGCAAAAAAGTATTTAGTCAGCCACCAATTGTGCAAGTTCTCCCACTTAAAAAGATGAGAGAGGCCTGTAATTTTCATCCTAGGTACACTTCAACTATGAGAGACAGAATGGGGGGAAAGAATCCAGGAAATCACATTGTAGGATTTTTAATGAATGAATTAGTAAATTCCTCGGTAAAATAAGTATTTGGTCACCTACAAACAAACAAGATTTCTGGCTCTCACAGACCTGTAACTTCTTCTTTAAGTCTTCTTTAAGAGCCTCCTCTGTCCTCCACTTGTTAACTGTATTAATGGCACCTGTTTGAACTCGTTATCAGTATAAAAGACACCTGTCTGTGGATTCTGTCCACAACCTCAAACAGTCACACTCCAAACTCCACTATGGCCAAGACCAAAGAGCTGTCAAAGGACACCAGAAACAAAATTGTAGACCTGCACCAGGCTGGGAAGACTGAATCTGCAATAGGTAAGCATCTTGGTGTGAAGAAATCAACTGTGGGAGCAATTATTAGAAAATGGAAGACATACAAGACCACTGATAATCTCCCTCGATCTGGGGCTCCACGCAAGATCTCACCCCGTGGGGTCAAAATGATCACAAGAACGGTGAGCAAAAATCCCAGAACCACACGGGGGGGCCTAGTCAATGACCTGCAGAGAGCTGGGACCAAAGTAACAAAGGCTACCATCAGTAACACACTACGCCGCCAGGGACTCAAATCCTGCAGTGCCAGACGTGTCCCCCTGCTTAAGCCAGTACATGTCCAGGCCCGTCTGAAGTTTGCTAGAGAGCATTTAGATGATCCAGAAGAGGATTGGGAGAATGTCATATGGTCAGATGAAACCAAAATAGAACTTTTTGGTAAAAACTCAACTAGACGTGTTTGGAGGAGAAAGAATGCTGAGTTGCATCCAAAGAACACCATACTGTGAAACATGGGGGTGGAAACATCATGCTTTGGGGCTGTTTTTCTGCAAAGGGACCAGGACGACTGATCCGTGTAAAGGAAATAATTAATGGGGCCATGTATCGTGAGATTTTGAGTGACAACCTCCTTCCATCAGCAAGGGCATTGAAGATGAAAGGTGGCTGGGTCTTTCAGCATGACAATGATCCCAAACACACCGCCCGGGCAACGAAGGAGTGGCTTCGTAAGAAGCATTTCAAGGTCCTGAAGTGGCCTAGCCAGTCTCCAGATCTCAACCCCATAGAAAATCTTTGGAGGGAGTTGAAAGTCTGTGTTGCCCAGCGACAGCCCCAAAACATCACTGCTCTAGAGGAGATCTGCATGGAGGAATGGGCCAAAATACCAGCAACAGTGTGTGAAAACCTTGTGAAGACTTACAGAAAACATTTGACCTCTGTCATTGCCAACAAAGGGTATATAACAAAGTATTGAGATGAACTTTTGTTATTGACCAAATACTTATTTTCCACCAACATTTGCAAATAAATTCATTAAAAATCCTACAATGTGATTTCCTGGATTCTTTCCCCCCATTCTGTCTCTCATAGTTGAAGTGTACCTAGGATGAAAATTATAGGCCTCTCATCTTTTTAAGTGGGAGAACTTGCACAATTGGTGGCTGACTAAATACTTTTTTGCCCCACTGTATGTTAATATGTAATATGTGTTATGTTGTGATATAATTCTTATGATCACTCGAAAAGCTAAAACACCAAATGCATGAAAGTTAACAGGCATTTTTTTTAAATACAGAGAGAAACGCAGCAGTATGTTATAAATACAAAAATAAAAGGCTACCATTTGTATCATCGAAAGAGTCAAATATTTATTTTTGTTCCGTTAAGTGTAAATGGGAGTTTATATTAAATCCAAAGTACTTAAAATATTACCAGCACATAGCAATATATTATGCAGGCTACTTTCATTCCACGGCAGAAAGTTAACCTGTTACCACCGGATACAGCGCATCAAAAAACCAACAAACTTTGATATACAGATAAAACGTGAATACAAGATGATGGCCTGCCGCTGCAGCAGGTTGAACAAATATTTACTCTGATATTTGACTTGTTGCAGTTCCCCCTAATCTGAGGGCCAATATAAAATGCAGACCTTTAAATGCAACACAGCACTTACCCAAGGAGAATCTTGGCGTAGATTTCTTTCACTGTGCGAGTCTCCCTCTTCTTCTGGATCTCAGCGTCGTACCAATAGCCACGCTCCTTGGGGTCGTCTGGGTTGAAGTTGACCATAACAACCATCTTTGGCTCCAGCTGGTGCCACTGGTACACCGTGCGGGCCCGAGGGCGAACATCCTTGGCCAGCAACTGAACCAGCCCGTTCTCTGGGTAGCTGCGATGGTAAAGGTGATACCAGGTCAGTTGGCAGTTTGGTGGCAAGCCACACACCACTACAGGTGCTTCCTACAGACTGCTGCATGGGAGTGTAAAAGTATATTTCGCTCAACTGCAGGTACACTTAAGAAGAATGTTCCTCAAACACAAACATACTTCCAAACTCCCCAACCGACACAATCGTGTGTTTAAGTGACGTCCAGAGTTCATTCTCATGACCATTTACTTTCGTATTTGTTTCTATTAAATAACCTCTAATGACAAGTAAAGTAAAAAATCCTGGATTTTGGGGCAACCAGTTTACTTGATTCTGGCCATCACATCATAGTGGAGTAAATACAAAATATACTCAGTGTTTGGAAGATAAAAAAAACATTGCAGGTGGTTGGCTGATATTTTCAAACATAGATTCACAACATAGCTTTACATGTTGATTGATGGACACAAATAGAAAAGGGATTCTTACTCTTCGTATTTAACTTGGTACAATATCTCCTCCTCTGCTGGCTGTGCATCAGCAGCTTCTGCTTTAGGCGTCTTTGTTGACTTGGTAACATTCAAGATCTGCGCTTCAAACCACGCCCCCATGTTTAAGTCCCTTGCATCCACTAGCTCATTGATCTGAATGACGCAAAGAAAAAAAAGTTAGAACAATCTTGAAATACATTTTAAAGGCTGTAACATTTGTCCTCAACACATTATTAAGTGTTCTGTAAATATGATTCGTCCGTTTGTTTTCAAAAGGGCTCATGTGAACTTCTGTTTCCTTACATACACAGAATTTCTAAACATGAAACATTTTCACAATGTCTATAAGAATCCTTTGGACGAAATGTAGACCGGCTCAATTACAGCCCAGCTTCTCCATTCAAATCACCTACATTTGTATATTCATGTCAAGTGTTCACCAACAGCAACTGTATTCACACAGAGGTGTTGTGCTAGAAAAACATGCACTTTTATTCCTACATTTAGAAAGTGTCTTCTGGAAGGCACTCAGTGTGCCATGTGAAAACTGTCTGAAACATTGTGTAAAGATTATGAAGAAGAAGTATGATAAAAGAGCTAGAAAGAAGTTAAACCCCCGTGTTATCTCAACTCCACACAGCTGGCCTCTAACTGTAAAAAGTGGGTGTGAACGTCGGGTCATGGTTTACAGGAATTGCCAGACACAACAACCCCTTTCTTTTACCGGTTATTACCATTGACAGTTGTTTGTAGCAACAAGAAAATATATCAAATAAATGTTTGCATTAAAAGCTGCTTCGAGTAATGTTAGGAAGATGAAGGGGTCATGACTCCCTCTGATATCCATTTTATAATTCTGTTAAAACATATACTGCATAATAAGTGCATTTATTCGGGTTCGGCACTACATGATTTTACAAGATACCATGTAGAACATTAAATAATGTTATAATTTACCTTTGCCTAATACTCATCTGTACTGAAAGGAGCTTAAAGGCATCATTATTATGGTCAATGCAACCTTGCCATCTGTTAGCTTCATCCAAGAAGAACTGTGCCGTCCACGGGTGGCTAACAGCTAACTTTAACTGTGTTGGTCAGACTGTAGCAACTGCATGGATCTCCAAGTATAGAGCATTAATGTCGATTTCCCAATCACATATTTCTTTTATTAAAATCATTCGGGCATCTTTGCTTGAATCTTTTCTTCTCCCCACGCTGAAAGCTGACCTAATTGTTCAACAAACAACTTGAATGGGTGACGAGCGTGCTCCCAACATTACTGTAGCTAAATGCAGGTCTTACGCCACAGCTGTTCACTACCTATCCCTAAAAGATCAATTAAATGTTCCCCTTTCCTGAAAGTATAGATAACATGCAAACACTTTTTAATCCAAGCCAACAGCTTTAGAACATACCTTGTAAGATCCGAACCCTGGATCAACGAGCTCTGTGGTGTTTGTTGTGGCGGCGGTGCCGGCGGTCTGAGCCTCGGCCTCCCCGTGAGTTGAGTTCTTGTCGGATTCACTCCGGGTTGATCCACAACCAGAGTCAGAGTCTGAGAGCTCTGCTTCTTTGTCTTTCACCACATCAACCTTCTGCCTCACAAGCAGTTGCACTATATCGTTTAGGCCCACATTGTAGTCGAATATGGTATGGCCGTCCTCCATCTGATGTTAAAAAACAAGGTTAAAGTTTGTATATCCAAAAAACAAACTTTAGATCTGCATTTATCACGTTCACATTAATGCATATTTTGTATTACACGTTTTACATTTACCACTATGTTTAAAGGACAGTCTTCTTTAAACACCAATACGTTTAAGAAGCTTCAAACTTTAAATTACTGGGACACAATCCAACAAAACCAGAGACTTGTCTGAGCAAAATGTTTACTAAGCTTCTTCACCTGCTTGCCGCGGTAGAAAAGTCTCTGCAGGTCTGGCTCCACCTTGAAGAGCTCAGAGATTTTGAGACGTAGCTCATCCACCTTGGTGAGCTTGGACAGGGAATCCACCCGGTGGGTTTCACTCCCATCCATTGTGCGCACTTGAATCCACATTGCAGCTGCCCTGTGTTAACAATCAATACATGTACCATTATAGTGAAAATAATAATAATTGTTGTAGTAGATTCTGCGAGTATTCACTCATGTTAAATGGATGATTTTATCAACAGCAGCAGCAGATGTCAGTGATCTGATAGAAGCCAGTTTTGTCAAACACATCATCAACAGCATGAGCAACACGATTTGTATGCTATTAATTGGTTGGTATTTGCATTTAAATCCAACTGCAGCCACATTAAAATCATTTTAGTAAGTAATACATGATTTAAAAAAATAATAGAGTAAGACTGATAAAAAGCATTGAATGGCACATCACTATGACCTTGCCACCATCCTAATATTTGGTTTGTCCACTTTTTTATAATGGAAGCAACACAGCAGTTTAAATAGTTTGAGAATTAATAACTTTCTCTTTCAATTGCATGTCCAAATCGTAGTAGTACCCACAATGACCATTCTTAGGCTTCTTTATGATTTTAAACTAATTCAAGTCATTTCGCAATGCAGATATCACCATCTTGAGCCAGGTGTTTCTGATATCTTGTGCGCCATATCAAAGACACTTCCTTACAGAGAACAATACAGATCCACTGATTGTGACTCTTCAAACTACAAAGGCATTACACATGACATGTCAGTTGTTAGACGCTTTTATCCAAAGCGACTTACATACTCAATACTGTGGGTAGGGCTGGGCGATTTGGCCTAAAAATAAAAATCGCGATTTTTTTCTAACTAATGGACAATTTTCGATTTAAACCTCGATTTGTTTCTGTTTTTTTCTAAACAAACCAGACCAAGGCTCTTTTAAGTGAACGACGGGAGCCGGCTCTCGCCCGCGAACGAGCCTTTTTTTTGTTTTTTTTGCGGAGGGATCTAGATCGGCATGAAGGCACGTTATGCAATGTGCACATCATCCCGCTTATTACACATGGCCACATTCTCAACAAAGTAACGACATGACTCCCAATATTAATTGAAATGCTTTTATGGATTTAGAAAATGATTTTATTGATTTAAAAAATAGTTTTATGTATTGATTTAAATTGACAAGCATCCGCTAAGAAAAGTAGTCCGTTGTTACTGTTTGAACTAACGTAGCAACGGCAGGAACTGCTTCGATAGTGTTTTTGATTACAGATTTGAAAACATCGTTGCTTGCTTTAAAAGTAGCACACTTCATGATGTCAAACCTTGGGAAGTATCTAGATATCCCTGCCCTAATGCCAAAGTAACTGCCAACTGAATATGTGTCGCCGTTTGATGTCTATGTCTGGACCGCTGCGTAAAAAGGAGGGTTTCTGCCCCATTACTTCTATAAGAATAAAACACGGAGGACGGAGATCTCTTTTCCTCCCCCTCTACAGACCGCCCAGCAGCTGATCTCAGAGCAAAATATTTATATAGGTCGATACAGTAGCCACTTTTTTTTTTTCTTTTTTAAATAGTTTGTATAGGTGTTGCTATCTGTTTTGTGTAGCGTGGTTCTACAAGCAAGTCAATGCATTCATTGGGTGGTATCAGAGATTTACACGGGTCTGTAAATGCAATGAAAACAATTGGCCACAGCAAATCATTTATATTAAACTTTATTTACTCTTGAATACTTCAGTACAAAGGATGTATTGAATAATTTAAGTGATATATGTGTACACAGAGCTGCAGATCGGGTAGTCACAGTCAATGTGGCTGAGTTTTGTGCGCGTTCTGGAAAGTGAGAGAGTAAGCTACTACGGAGTCCCTTAAAGCAAAACAAATCTGCGGAGTCAAGAAATGTTTTTAAAATCGCGATTTTTCGGTTCAGCCATTTCACAAACCGTAGGAAAGTAAAAATGCAAATTAATCGTTAAAATCGCCCAGCCCTAACTGTGGGCAATCCCCACAGGAGCAATTTGGGGTGAAGTGTCTCAGGGACACAACGGCATAGTGACGGCAGTGGGGTTTGAACCTGTGCTCCCTTGATCCGAACACCATCGCTCTACCCACTGTGCCTACCAAAGGCAATGTTAATGCTGAGGTGGCCACATATCAGCTTGTAAGTTTTCAATACACAAAAAAAAAGCATTTCATCGTGGATTGTTGCTTTTCATAATCATTGCATGGACATTATTCTCTATAACAAATCACCTCTGGCCGGAAGAGAACTGTCTGCTCCATAGCTTCTCTTAACAACTGGACTTAAAATCACACTGGACATTTTACATGAATATTCTATTTAATATTGGATAATCCATTCTTGCACAATAATATCCTGCATTATATTTGTTTTATCTTTTTAAATGCTATTTTATTCATATTTATGAAATATATTGGACTGTTTATTTCTGTGTCTTCGTTTCTCTTGTGTACATTGCCTTGTGTTTTTTATGCTGCTGCAACGCAAAAACTTCACAAATTGGGATCAATAAAGTACCTACCTACCTATCCATCATAGAGTTCCTGCCAATTAAATCATTAAAATGATGTAAATGAAATGAATTCAGTTAAAAAGGAAAATGAAATGGTGATCAGCAGAGGGAATTTGACCATATCAGTGTTGGTCCGTGTATTGTCTTTCTGTCAGCACTGGGCTGTCACTTGAACAGAGAATCAGAAAGGGAGGGAACAGGCTGATTTAAATACAGTGCGGGAAACTGAGCTGAGGCCACTCCCAGTTCTTTTAAAACTGAGCAGCACATCCGGACGGGAGGGAGCGCTAGCAAACAATGTGCCTTCAGTCTCTCACAATAAAACACACCGAAATACTACCTTATGTGCACCATGGAATCGATTATAACTGTACTTAAACGCGCCTCTACTTGCATAAGCCGTGTGTTGTTCTTTCTCGGTGGTAAACACTGAGCTCGACGGCTGCTTGGTTTTTACTTTGAGTTCTCAGCTGAGATGTTGGTCGCTCTGCTGGCTCGAATAAACCCGTGAACAAAACATCACCAACAACATTGATACAAAAACGACTTCCTCTCTCCTGATATGCGTTCATTTACCGAGATCATTCCATTTAAACAAAATGTAGACAAAATATGAGTCGTTTTTTCAACACGGAAAAACTGGAAAATAAATAGTGTTTGGAGGTTGGCGTGGTGTGTTTTGCTTCTAAGGAAGCGGTGAATTGCCAAAGCTAGTTATTTCACCATATGTTAGGCAGTATGTGGTAATACTACAAATAAACAACAGCTCAAGTCAAGTTCATCATGCACCTATCAATGCTTTATGTTTCAGCAAACCACGTTACAACTTATTGTTCGAACCCTTTCAACAACGTTAGGTTAGCACAGAGAATTGAGAGTACATTCAACAGCAAACAAAACTCTCCCAGTGACAAAATATTTAATTTACAATTTTACATTTTGCTTGCTCCTACGGTAGGTAAGCCAAACATAAACGAGGTGACTTTGTGAAGTTAGCTAACCATAGTGAGCTAGCCAAGTTACTGTGAGAAGATTTCAATGAGTACCATTTTAAAAGTTATTTTAACACGAGAAGAAATCTGCTTTACCTGATGGTTCGTCCAAGTGAAAACAAGAAATAGAGGTTTACGGAGGTTCACGTTTTCCGTAACTAACTTGTGTATGAGGTTTGCACAAGCAACTCTGCCTTGTTGGAGGTTGATCAATGAGTTATTCTTCAAGACTTTTATATCCCGCCTGCTCTAATAATACAGCTTCCCCATTGGCTAATTTGCTCTAAACAACTCGAGTTCATTGGCTAGCAGACCTTTCAATCTGAAATGTGACTGGAGTTTAGCTTCAGCGCGCGAAACGACATTCTCGTGGGTGCAGCTTGCCTCCGGAGATGTATCGCGAGATTATGAAGGGCACCGTAAACGGGTAACCATGGGAAAGACAGATGGTGTTCTGGTAAACAACCCCACTGAAAAGCTGTGTATCGTGTTTTTACATGTTACTGCTTCGTTATTTATTTTCACAATTAGTTTGGTTATTTGACCTTATCTTCTCAATATATTAAACGTTTATGTGGAGCCCCATATTGACCTTATAATCTTGTCTAAATAATTATGTGTAATTACCTTCCCTTCAGTTTGGCGGGAGCTGAAAGTCAATGAGGCCAACTCAATTCAAACTAGTGCACTGGAAATAAGGCAGGTGTTTGTTTGAGAGGAACTGTGTGTGTGTGTGTGCGTGTTTCCTTCACGCTACACACGTGATACACACATAATGTGCAATATGATGCCTCTGTCATTTGCCATATCTGATTATCTTTATTTAGTGGCTTTATACTAAACTTGATCCACAGCATTTCTAGCTTAAAGGTAGGGTAGGTAAGAATGGAAAAAAACAGCTCTAGTGCGCTAGAATTTGAAAGTACGCAGCCGGAAAAAATCTGCCCCTTCCTTCAGACTTCCCTCCTTCAACACAAACGAACGCACACATGACCAATGAGGGCACGCGATAAATTTGTCCACAGATCGTGCCACGGCTTCCAATCCACAGATGACGTTTTTTGTATGTATTTATTGTCAAAGCATGTCATGTATTCATTGCTATCGGGATGTTAAGAGCATTCCATGGAATATAACAAGTGTTTCTGAAGTGAATTGCCTACCCTACCTTTAAGTCTGGCCCTCTAAAGTCACTTTTTAGTACGACAGCTTGTCTGACAAACTAATGGACTTCCTTAAACTTTAATCTCTGTGTTATACAATTTGCAATAGTTTGTGTGATGCCATTCAATTCAGAAATATATAATAATATGGTCCTGTCATCCTGCAAATGCAAACATGAAACATCCTACAACAGAGATCTTGGGAAAAAGTATTTATTGCTTTTGTATTCGGCAAGATGCTGATACTGTATGTTGCTGCTATGAAAATCAAAAGAAAGTAGGTCCTAAGGTTCTATTAATGTTGTAGGCTAAGGCCAGTGAAACACAAAGGAAGATTTCAGGGCTATATATAATGTTAACAATTTAATAATTATAGATTTACTTTATTTCTATTGCAGGTTCTCAATATGTGTATGCCTACAACTTTAAAATAAACTGTTGCTAGGTCATCAAAGGAAAACATTTTCCAACTGAAACAGGGATTTTTAGGATATTTGTATAATAATAAATAATAATGATCATAAGTTTAACTTGTTCATGTATAGTGACATCATGTAATGCACATATTCAAAAGTGCTGTCCATATTTTAAGGACAATCTCCATTTCCCTAATGTTAGATTTCTTTCAGAAAGAAATATTGCAAAAGAGTTGATTAGTAGACATACAAAATAAATACTTATCCATTTGAGGTATGTAAGCTCGAGAATAAGGGAAAAATGTATTCCTCATTTCTTAATTACTTAGGAACTAACACACTTAGACTCTAGGTACCTTAAAAATCATCTTCATATTGCTTCCTAAGAGACACTACTAATGTGTGTCTATTTGTAGCTGAAAACCCAGTCCTGACTATACAGTAACTGTGAACCTCTGGGGGAAAAAAATGGATCTTCCCTTAGCCGAGAATCCCCTCACTAAAGCACTTCCCTTGTCATTTGGGCTGCTCAGTAAGAGCTATTACTCCCAGGGGTTTATTTGTGTAACTGTAAAAATGTGTAGCAGAGCGCTACTTAAAAGAAGAGTGTGCATGTTGAGAAAATCCTTCCCAGCATGAACAAAGTTTCCAGACTACAAGGAAAGCCACAGAGTGAGGTCTATGTATGTATGGTGTCTCTGGTGTGGTGGGTCCTGGACAAAGCTGCCTGGCAGGGACTGAACAGCACTCGGAGCTCAGGGAGGATGACAGGAAGTGGACGCGACAGGCCAAGTCGTCCAGGAAATCCTTTTGTAGCTTTGTTATTGCTTGAGAAAGCACAACGGGAAGCGACTGCAAACTGAGAAGGATGGAATCCAGTTTCTCTTCCAGAGCTACAATCCTCCTGTCCAGCTCCTCACTTCGATGTTGAAGCTCCAACACCAGATCGTACATCATGTTCTGGGTCTGCAAAGCAACAGGGAGGACAGTTCATTCACACATTTTACAGCACAAGTCATCATCAGGGTAAGTGGAGCGGGGAACTTATCTCATCATCTTTACATACATCATAAATGTTGTAATTTTTTTTGAAAAGATACAAAATCTCACTTCCCCAGGAAACAAAAATCTGTTTTGTCACCTATCAATGCCCTGGCATAGTAGATAAACAACTAAACTTAGAACTGGTTTAGTTTGTGCATGAAAGTCCGACCTCATCTACATTTTCTGGAGCAGCTTTGTGCACACATGTTAGCGCAATCTCGTTTGTTGATGTTTGCCTAGGTTGTCAATTGCAACCTTAGCTAGAGATCTACGAAGTAGCGCAGACACACGGCTCCAGGAGATGCACAACACTGTCAGGCCAGATTTCAGAGTTAAACAGTAAAAAAAAACTCGGACTAAAAGATCAGAATTTTTTCTTAAATGCATGAACATGTTGACCAACAACAGCAGACCAGATGAGACGCATATTCTTATAATAGCAGTGTATAGAAAATGTCCAAATAAGCAAACGGCTCAACCCCTCTTTACTTAACGTCCTCATAAGCAGTGCTAAACATGGAGGGATTTAGTTAAAACGGTAACAAACATTTGATAGAATGGATAACATTAGCATTAGTTAAGGGAACAATATCAAACGCTGGGAGTAAAATCACGGTGTAAGGCGTTAACGGAGTAATGGCGCGATTACGAAAAGGAATTAAAAAAAATTCTTTAACTACATGGCAGATCCAAGGTTAAAAAAACGATAGCATTGAAGTCCACAAAACTTGCAGTTTTATAAATCATTAAAAAATATATTAAGAGAGATTGATTCTTTATTGCCTTTGCTGAAAAACGCCCTTACAGTTTACATGGCGTTTCCTCCCAGGCAGAGTAGGCAGATCCAATGAACATCGCCCGCTGCTATAGCCTGGGAACAACTGCATTAGGATATCCTGCAGGGGTTTGTTGATGTTCATCAAATAGTTCTTTCCCAGGTCGTACCTGCAGGCCGGGCAGGTGTGCACGTCTGCTTTGAACGATCGCTTTAGGCATTCCTGAGGCGGAAAGAATCAGACATTTCATTTAAATTTCAGGCACTCAAACTTTGACATTTCATTTCTAAAAATGGTTTCTGCATTGTAGCCAGGTGGGTGTAAGGTTGGTTAGGATGTCACGTGAAGCTCAAAAGCGGTTTAGGAAAATGTTTATAACCCAACCACTACAGCAACATAATAAAATAAAGACATATTTTAGGTTGTATATCAACCAAAAAAAACAACAAACAGTGTTAGAGCTATGATTCTGTTGCTGCATACAATTAAGTGATAGTCAAAAACTCTTGTTAATCATCAACGATCGTTCCTCACCCTGCAGACATTGTGTTGGCACTCTGTGGTGATCGGCTGAAAGACAACCTCTTGGCAGCAAATGCAGAGGAAAACTTCTTCGACTTTGTTCAGGAATTTCTGTAGGAACGACAATAAACATTTGAAAGCGTATTACAAACTACCCATTTCTGTTGCCCCAAAAAAACCGCCATTGCAAGATATTCTATCGAGTATTGTATGCAAGAGCACTGTTGTGATTTTACCAATTAAAGTCATCACTAGGACATCTCTTTCTTGTCCAAGGTCTAACGTATTGGACATACGTGTCCTTTCAAATTGAAATGTCACATTAAAATTCCTCCAAACATAAGCTGGTAACCAAATACACAGTAATGCTCACCGGTCCGAGTGACAGTGACTCCATGGCTTCATCCCACAGTTTCTTGTTTTGCTTGTCATTCTTGATGAAGGTTTTCTGTTCCCTAGTAAGCTTGTACATTTCTAGCTTTATTTTCTTAGGAGTTTTGGTTGGTGAAGACTTGGGGGATTCTGTAAGAAAGAAACACATTTTAAATGTACTAGAGTAAAAGGGTGGACGGTTATACTTTATAGATTTTACACAGAAATCAAAACCAATAAAATGTCTCACCTGATCAATTATGATAATATTGGCAATACTACAATTTATATTGTACACCAAAACAAACCAATGCATAGCTTTTGGGCTGATCTGCAACAGTTTCATTTGAACTAGTGTTGAATATTAGGTAAGAGCAAAAACATACCACTGCTCTGGGATTTCCTCTTCCTCTTTGACTTGCTGGGTGTTTCCGAAGACTCATCCGCAACATTTTTGTTCTCTTTCTCCTTCTCTTTCTCTTGATAGCCAGCAGGATACTGAAAAAAATATTAAGTCCATTTAATTGAAGTTATGCTCCTGTTAACCAGAGGTGGGACCAAGTCATTGTTTTTCAAGTCCGAGTCAAGTCTCAGCGCTCAAGTCCGAGTCAAGTCCAAGTCGAGTCTCAAGTCAGGATGGGCAAGTTCAAGTCAAGTCCAAGTCCTAAACTTTGACAAAACGAGTCATAAACAAGTCATTGTGTGCTTTTCACCAAATGTAATGACATCGATCAACAGAATAATACTTAATAATCAAACTGCTCTTTATTAGTCACATTAATCATTTAATAATCAATTTTCTCTCTGCTGGTAAAGTAACATGTTTTTTTCTATTTGAAGAGGGATCCGTAAGGTAAGGCTACCGTGACGGTTTGATTCAGAAGGAGTTTAATGTATAAGATCCCTGATGTTGAGGTAACCAGAATGTTTATTTCCACTGTGTACAACATGTTATAAGGGACCCACAATCTATCTGTATGCAAGGGATAATGTGCAGCGAGGCGGACTTTATAACACCTTTTTCAGACCACTTTGAATAGAATTTAAGACCTATTTCACGGCAATAAAGTATGAAGGAAAATTTATATGAAAGAAGAAATACGTCCCATAATCACTTACAAAGTAAATGTATTCATGTTCAACATAAGAACAGTGACTGAACATAACAGCATAAAAGTACAGAACTGTGTTAGCGTGTTGGACAAAAAGTGTGTGTGTGCGCTTGAGTGTGTGTGTGTGTTAGGGCTGTGCAATTAATCATATTTTAATCGCAATTACGATTTTGGCCTGCCACAATTACGAATACAACATAATCGAAAAAAACGATTATTTTGCTTTGCTAGGTTGTGACAGTGACAACATATTTGATCTAATACATTTTTTAGTAATGCATCATTTATTTAATTAATTTTTGTATTGGTTTTTCAGTTGAATTATACGTTCAGGGTAATCAACAGTTAAAAAGATACTGTTCAAATTATTATTTGTTTTAAAGTTCAATAAATGGATGTTTTCAAAGTCAATGAATAATCGTATTTAATAATCATGATATTAATTATAGACCAACATAATCTTGATAATTGTCATAATTGAGCAGCCCTAGTGTGTGTGTGTGTGTGTGTGTGTGTGTGTGTGTGTGTGTGTGTGTGTGTGTGTCTAAGAGAGAGTGACAAGAGCTATATTCAGAGCTCTGCTGCCTTGGCTACACTATTTCCTCGTTGCTGTTGTATGATTGGTGTTTAGCTGCGGTATTTAGGGTCTACAGCACCTCCGCTTTTAGGGTTGACGTAGACCCAAACGTCGCCCGGAGGTCCCCCAGTGTTGTTGCGGGAGCTGCTGCGGGAGCTGCTGCATTAGCTAACGCTCCACTAGCTAACGCTGCACTAGCAAACGCTCCACTAGCAAAACAAACGATAATTTATTTTGCAAAAGGTGCAGCGGGCTTCAAACACGTTCCCTCCACTGGTTTCAACCAAGCACTAAATTAGATGTTTTCCAACCAAATACGGTTGAACTGACACTTCCCCATATTAATTTGTAAGTAGATTCGAAGATAGGCTACATGAGCTGAAGCTTGGTTGCTAGGTTACTAGCTGGGTGTTCTCCAATAAGGGGCCGGGGGAAACAAAGTTAGTGATTACTGGTTCCATGTTGATTTAATTCAATACAAATTGTTGGGGGGAACTGAAAGGCTATTACCGTACTGGTTACTTTGCAGCCCGGACATTTCCCCCAAAACACATTTTAGACGCGATCGCAACACAGAAGTACCTTTCAAATCCCATCATTTTTAAGACCTTCTAAATCATATTTAAGACCTTAATTCGAATTTATCAAATGTAAGACTTTAAGACCCTGCAGGAAACCTGATTGTAACCTTTTTTTTTTTTTTTCTTTTTTTTTTTTTAAATTGTCTGAACTTCTCCCACCTCTGGAAATAAATCCTGAGTAGTTACCAAAAAAAAAAACCCTGCTCTGAAGGTTATTTTCATTTGACAAATCCTGCACTCAGCTTTGCTTTCTCCAATATCATTGAAAAGCAGCCAGATGCTGCTTCTTTTTTGGGTTTTCGCTCATTTCTTGACTTTTTACGACGCGCTTGCATTTAAATCCGGCTTCCCGTCGCTCTGTGCAGCTGGCCTGTACCACTACACATGCTGTGCCCCCCACCCTTCTTTCACATAATGGTATGATCCTAGTGTGTCCTCGCATATGATTGGCCGCATGGTGGCCCAGCTGCAAGGAATCTCAGCAAGAGTAGGAGCGGCTGAAGAGTCTGCTCTCCCCGACGGGAGTCTGCTCTTCTAGCGGTAGCTCGCGATCGGCGTGTTGGAGACCTCTGAATTAAATGATCAAGTCACCTCAAGTCAGAAGGCTCGAGTCCAAGTCAAGTCCCGAGTCATTGGTGTTCAAGTCCAAGTCGAGTCGCAAGTGTTTTGTGATTTTGTCAAGTCGAGTCTCAAGTCATCAAATTTGTGACTCGAGTCCAAGTCATGTGACTCGAGTCCACACCTCTGCTGTTAACCATCAGCTCAAAGCACAGCTAACATTAGCATCAATACTGACATGTTGAAGATATGCTTTTCAAAGAAGGCCATTCTTTAAATCAATTAAAAAGAGTTGCATTCTACTAGAGCTGCACGATTAACCGAAAAAAGATCGTGATCTCGATTCAGACACCTATGCGATCTCATTTCTAAATTACGGCGATCCTATGACGTCATGCTGATTTTTATTTTTTTATTATTTTGCTTCTGAATAATACCAACTTGCAATGTCAATCATACTTAAACGATGTAAAGCAAATATAATCTATACATTTAACATTAAAGTACCATGATCGCATGCAAATGGTAGTGTTCTGTCTGTCTCTCCTCCTCTCATACAGTGTTAACGATGCAGCCACTAGGGTTGCCAGTTTTTGCGGAAGGAATAAGCAACCAGGTCTATGAAAACAAGCGCAAAAGAACATGACTTTAAACCTATATATGTCGGGTCGGCTATTTGAAAATAATAATCTACAATCTCAAAACCGCAACAACCATTATTACTTAATACTTACTACCAAGCAACTTTACAGAAAGATTATCCCAATGTGGCTTATAATGAGTATACCTGGCAACACTCACTGACTGCAACACGTGAGGGCAGGAGCCGGCAGTATGTTTACAGAAGTTTTAGCAATTTAGCACTGATAACAAAAACAGAAATGAGTGACACAGAAATTAGTTGCGAGGAGCAGGTCGAGGACAATGACACCGATGAAAATCCCGGTGGCGACTCTGGCGAGAGGAAAGTTGTGCTTGTGCCGAAAAAAGGACCACATTCATCCAGCGTGTGGAACTTTTTTGGATTTGATCCTGATGATGACTTACAAAAAGTCGTCCACTGTAAGCATTGTTCTTTCATCGTCGCAACGACGTCAGGTAACACCACAAACCTATTAAATCACCTAAAACGTCACCATAAAATACAGTATACTTTAGCAAAGAAGGACAACCCGAAAAAAATATCAAACCCGCAGACAACGATGCAAACATCCATAAGCCAAACGTTATTCAGCGGAACACCATATGCACACAGCTCACGAAGGCACAAAGAGATAACGAAAGCCATCACCTTTTACTTGGCTAAGGATATGGCATCAATAAATACAGTTCAAAATGAAGGGTTCAAGAACTTGATGAAGACGCTGGATAAGCGGTACTCAGTGCCTTCCCGCAACTACTTTTCACGTACTGCATTGCCTGCCATGTACTACAAGACTCAGTCGAGACAGAACTGAAAGATGTCCAGCACTTTGCGACAACAACTGACCTGTGGTCCAGTCGTACCATGGAACCATATATGAGCCTGACGGTGCATTTCATCACCAGTGATTTCACCATGAAAAGTCGGTGCCTACAGACAGCTTTCTTCCCCGTGGACCACACGGGCGACGAAATTGCAGTGGGACTAATGGAAAGTCTCCCGTCCTGGAGCTTGGATCCGAAAAGGATGGTGTGCATCACTACAGATAGTGGATCAAACATCATAAAAGCATCCGACATAAACAACTGGACAAGGCTCCAGTGTTTTGGCCACAGGCTACATCTGGCTATAGGTGAGCTGAGTACAATCCATCCCACAGTAAAGTCCTCTGTTCATTTAAGTCTGAGAGTGTAGAGTTAAATTAACTGTCAATATTGTACTGAACATGTTTATGTATTTAAAAAAATAAATCTTATTTCATTTAACTAATTACCACCATTTTAAAATTGTAATGTATAGTCTAAATATTATAGTACCCCCCGCCATTTGGGTATATATTTATACTCCGGCTTAAATGAATAGGCCATTTTTTTTATTCCATCTTTCCAGACCCCATACATTTTTCCCTTAGAGATTTCCAAAAATATTTATATAAATTATTTTAAGCCTAGAATCAAGCCATCCAGGATACTGGTTATTCATGACCATAACACGAAAAAAAGAAGTTAAAACCACAAAACAAAGGGTATTTATTAAATGTAGAATATCATATAATTAAATATTCATTCATTTTTCATAGAATCAAATGTGTTATGGTCATGATTCACCAGTATCCTGGATGGCTTGATTCTAGCCTTAAATTAATTGATATAAATATTTTAGGAAATCTCTATGGGAAAAATTAATGGGGTCTGGAATGATGGAATCAGAACATGGCTGCCACTGCTATGCCCTATAGTGAGGATTTTACTGTGCATTACATTTTAGCTATGCCTTAATGAATTACTGTTATATGTATATATATATTTTTTTTTACCATTTTAAACCATTATTTTTTTGTCATGTTTTTACAGCAAAGTTGAACATTGTTTCTCTCTCTCTAGAGAATTCAATGAAAGATGAACGAATCAGCCGTGCTATGGGGGTCTGCAAAAAGATAGTGAGCTGCTTCAGCCACAGCTGGAAGCGGAAGAGAGAGCTTGCACAAGCACAAAAGGACCTCAATCTACCTGACCACAAGCTCAAAACGGAGTGCCAAACAAGATGGGGATCCCGTCTAGCTATGGTCAACAGGGTCCTTGAACAACAAGAGGCCATTACACGAGTTCTCGCCCGGAACACTGACCGGAACAAGTTCGCTAGAGGTAACATTCTGACATGGCAAGACATACAGGTTCTTGAGGTGATTGACAAGACACCAACACCACTGGCAGAATTCACAGATGCGCTCTCAGGGGAGCAATATGTGTCTGTGTCCTCTGTGAAGCCAGTCCTCCACCTCTTCGAATAACTGATGGCAGTGAAGGAAGACGACCCTGCACTCGCTCGCTCGATTAAAACAACCATCCTGCAGTACCTTCAGGAGAAGTACAGTGATCCAAAGACACAGGCGCTGCTCGACATAGCTACAAGTCTGGATCCAAGGTTCAAACTGGACTATGTCAGCGAGGACAACAAAACCACTGTCAAGACCAGACTGAAGGATGAGATGACTAGCATCGTTACTATGGTAACTGTTTATATTAATTGGGAACATTTATTTAGTTTATCAACCTTAGTATTTAACTGCTGATATATTACTTAAGTTATCAAGTGTAGAATATTAAGGTTAACCTTTTTATTAAATTCTATTTTCCCTTTTCAAGGAAAGTCTCAGCCTCCCTCCCACCACAGCTTCCTCCAGTGCCACGTGCCACGCCGCCCCCCTGGTGGGAAGAAGAGAAAGACCTTAGGCAGCTTTTTTAAAGTAGCAAAGGGGAACGAGGCAGCTGCACCTGAAGTCGAGCAAGTTGTCGACATGGAACTAGGCGCATATCTACTCTCAAGAAATATCGACAGCGAAGATGACCCCTTAAAGTGGTGGAATTTCAACAAGGGACAATACCCAAGGTTGTCCATGCTTGCCAGGAAATACTTATGTATTACTGCGACCAGTAGCCCTTCAGAAAGGGCTTTCAGTACAGGGGGGAACATTGTAACTTGCCTGCGTTCCTCCCTGAAACCTCAGAATGTCGACATGTTGGTGTTCTTAGCCAAGAATCTTAGTGCAGTAGATGGACTGTGCTAGTAGCTAGGCAGCTAGGCTTTATTTACATCTATTCTAAAGCTGTAACTTTATGTTCTGTTCCGTTTTTATATGCAGTATTTAAGTTAATCCTTTTGTTAAGTTATGTTTTTGTTACGAGAGAGACAAATTATATTAGACTAGATAAGAATCTTTAATGACCACACAGCAGGCTGGTGGAATTCGTGTTGAAATGTTGTCTGTTTAATTTTTTTTGTTGCAATAAATATTTTCATTGAAACGATGAGAATCGTGTGAGAATCGTGATCTCAACTCTTATGGAGGAAAATCGTGATTCACATTTGAGCAAGAATCGTGCAGCCCTACATTCTACACAGAGGACACAGTTCATTTACACAAAACATGAAACCCTCTTGCTCTAATGTAGCTTGAAGGATCATCTCTACCTGTATGGTGAGCCCGAGCTTCTTGACGCGGTCCTTGCCATCTCTCGTCCACGGTGCCGGCTCCTCATCGTCACGCTTCAGCAGATATCGCCACACCAAGAAGCCAGACTTCCCTTTGGCTGGCCAGTACTTTGCAATCTGAAGGAATTCAATGACAGAGTAAGACTACCAATAGATGCCCAAAGTCACAAGATTATTTATCGAACTTCAAATAATCAAAGTAGAGGTAGTTGTTGGGTTACGAGTAATTCAATTGTTCGGAAACCAATGCATGCTCCTTATTTATTTAGATCCATGCAGTTGAATAGTTGCAGTTTTAAAATTAATTACATTTCTATAAATTCTAAAAAATAAATAAAAAAATGCAGATTCTGTCCAGTGTATCCTCATACCTTATATATCCCATCATATCTGTTTCCTTCCTCAGGGGAGTATTTACTGTGTTTGCGACCCTTGCAGCTGCGCACGACTCTAACTGGTTTTCCCGCCTTCCAGTTCTTCGCATCGGCTCCATTTTTGTCGTTGACAGGGACGTTGCAGTTGAGAGCCAGCGCCCTGTTGAGAACCAGAGTGAACAATTTAGATATAAGAAATGAACTCTATGCAATAACCAGGGTTCATACACTTTTTCACCAATGATTTTCAATGACCTTTACCTAATTTTCCATGACCAAAAAAAAATGACCACTGAAAATGTTTTATTTTAACATGGAACAGGAAAATAAGGTCTGCATATGAAACATGTTGTGCCTACCTAAAACAAATCAAATAGTAGGCTTACTAGCTTCTACACGCTAAAGCAACTGTAGTCAGGGATGCAAAGTCATCAGGTATGAAAAAGGTGACAAGGACCCGACCCCTGACCCCACGGGATATCGGCTTTAAAATGAGGAATAACAGGATGTTAGCAGTCAGAACAACTAAAGCAGCAGGTAATAATAACAGAAACGCCAAAGAGTCACATCTAATAGAAATATATAAAAGCATTTATTTTAATTGTGTAGCAGTCAGTTTATAATTCTGGCAGCACTGTTGAGCATTTTGAAAATGTATTTTCATGCCTCTGTTCAAGGCTTAGTCTTTCTATCTGTATAGCCACTGGTGTAAAGTAACTACATTCATAAACTCAACAAGTACTATACGTGGGTAACATTTTTAGATACTTGTACTTTATTTAAGTATTTCAATGTTTTGCTACCGTGTACTTCTACTCCACTATAGTTCAGAGGTACATGGTGTACTTCTACTCCACTACAGTTCAGAGGTACTTCTACTCCACTACAGTTCAGAGGTACATGGTGTACTTCTACTCCACTACAGTTCAGAGGTAGGCTTCATGGTGTACCTCTACAGTTCAGAGGTACATGGTGTACTTTTCCTCCACTACATGTATTTAATACCTTCAGTTACTTCACAGATGTGGATGAATGATGTGAAATCTAATCAAGTGTTGAATCAGACTTTAGTTCCACCTGGAGTAAATTCATAAGCTACCCTGCAGTATACAAAGTCATTCAAACTAGCTGCACCTTTACCAGCTTTGAGAACACTTTCATGATCAATCATTATAAAACATATATTATTCTGAAATGGACCAATCTGCACAATGACTACTTTTAGTGTCGCTACTTTCACTATATTTTGATGATAATACTTTTACTTGAGGAACATTTTGAATGCAGGACTTTTACTGTAACAGAGTATTCCTACACTGAGTACTTCTACTTTTACTCAAGTACAAGACCTGAGTAGGCCTACTTTTACTCAAGTACAAGACCTGAGTAGGCCTACTTTTACTTTTACTCAAGTACAAGACCTGAGTAGGCCTACTTTTACTCAAGTACAAGACCTGAGTAGGCCTACTTTTACTTTTACTCAAGTACAAGACCTGAGTAGGCCTACTTTTATAAAGTACAAGATCTGAGTACTTCTACTTTTATTAAGTACAAGATCTGAGTACTTCTACACTAGTAAGTATCAATACTTATACCACCTGTTTATAGCCTATGAAAACTAGAAAACGAATGCTAAAGCTAACGTTAGCAGATAGTGAATATGCTAGCTAGCTAGCTCAACGATTCCTTAAATAATATTGCGACAGAAAAAAATTTCAGTTCACATCACGCTCTGCCGCTCCGCCAGGGAGCTCTGCTCTGTGAACACCTGAACAGCCCGTTTTAACAGCTGTTCACCAGGGGTGCAGTCTGTGCCACAGACTCTGCACAGTTAACGAACGCACCGTAGATAATGTAGCTGACCCTCATCCCGGAGCAGCAGAGTTCAGCCGGCCCGACAGGCAGGAAGACTCGAGCACACAGCTCACGCTTCATATATACATAACAGCTCTCGACCGCAGATTATTTCGGCGATTAGATCAAATGTAAATTATATTTGACGCAACTTTAGTTACATTTCCATGACTTTTCCAAAACTTTGGGAGATATATTGTTTTCCATAACTTTTCCAGGGCCTTGAATTTGCATTTCCATGACTTTTCCAGGTTTTCAATGACCGTACGAACCCTGAATAACTGAAAATGCAGAAATCCTGTTAACTATAATGAGTCATGTCATACCGGTTCATGTGGGTAAGTGTCTGATCACATGATTGCTCAGCGGTCCTCTTGTTTCCGGAAAGATCTCGCCCACCAGAGCCAGTGTATGTGAACTCGTTACCATCATCCTTTAAGAAACGTAAATATTACAGACATTAAAACATCTAAAAAGTCTGGCTTCAACGTTAAGATTAATAGAAACACATTTCATATTATAATAAAAAAAATAAAAAAAAAGAAATTAACAAAGCATACCACGTCATCCTCATATCCTCCTGCCAGGACCAGAGAGAAGGCCCCGTCGTTGCTCCTGCCGTGGATCCCAGCTACATGAGGCCTGTGGACGCCAGATTCACTGACCTAGAACAGAGTTTAAACATCATTGGGGGCCACTAAACATACGAGCACTCAAACCGTGGTATTGGTAATCCTCTAGGATTCCCGCTGCGTGGACTGACCTGCACTCTGAACTTCCACAGGGAGCCGACAGGAACGCTGGGGATTGGGCCGTAGTGGTTTGATGGGACGATGGTGCACTGCGTGGTTCGACCAACACAGGCCATTCCCTGGAGGGGGAGGAGTAAATGGTTGCCATTAAAGCAATGCTCCACTCATTAGATAATTAATCAAAACTTCAGTATTTAGTGAAACATTATGTTTAAACCATACCCTGAAGAAATCAGCGATATTCCCCGGTAAATAATGATTTTATAGCTCTTTTTTATCAAAACCTGTATATTCCGTCAGGCCGCTGCCATTTTGCCCATTTTCAGTAGTCACGTGATGGTCGTGACGTCATCCATGCGTTCACTTTGTAAACACACGAAAACATGGCGGAGTATTTGAGTTCGGACTCGTCAGCCGAGGAAGAAGTTTTAAGCAATATGAAGAGATTGGATGGGGGAATTCAGCCATACAGGTTCGAGCCTACTTAGTAGATACAATGATTTTGATTACTAGATATGTATGCATGTAGTACCACCCTTGCTAGCGATTCCCTCTCTAGTTTAGCATACTCAGCCTCGTTGTCCCTGGCCCTAGAACCACGATTTTATGGGGCCGGAAAAACTGGGGGAAAATACCCACTAGCCTGTACTACGCTATATGGAAAGACCACCAAAAACTGGCCTGGACGATAAAGGACGTTTAAACGGGGCTACCCGCTGCAATGGAAATGCGCTATAACATACCTTATTCTTACTCCGAGCACTACTTCTGGTCCTCCGTCGCTTCACACTTGCAGAGGGCGATTTCTCAACTGGCCGAACTGGTGTCCTGGTCGGTGATGACACCAGAAAGACCGATGGTACTGCATCTCCATTAAGTAATGGTTGTTCAATAAATCCCATGTTATGTTTTATCATACTCTCAGAGTAGTCGTCCGGAAACTTGAAATGTTCGCTGCATACATGCGCCTGTGGATCTTTCGGTTCGGGCTAGCCACTGCCTCCGAACGTACTTCCTACGCTTACCTTTTGGCAACAGATGGAACCGAGCATTCCGTGGATTGTTCCTATCAGAATTGTGTCAATGTTTCGCGATACAATGAGGCATATTTGAAGAGTGTAACTACAGTAAATAACATGAACATCAACGTGTCCTCGAAACCAAACGCATGGTTTACGTCACGTCCGGTAAAATGGCGCCGCCCAGTGTTGATGTTATTTCGGTAATTAATCAGTTTAAAATCACTGATAATGTCATCGGATTAAAAAAAAAAAAAAAAAGACTGGCAGAGACTGGTCTGTTTTATCGGATGATAATTATTTAAAAGTGAGTGTCATGAGCATACCATTCCTTTAAAGTATTTGTGTATGTAACACCAATGCAGTAAACTAAACACATTTTAGAAGATGCACCAATACTGATATTGTTGACAGTAGATCAATGGTATAGCATACAATGACTTTAATAAAAAGTAATTGCTTCTGCCACCTGATAAATAATGAGCAGTTTCCTCCACACATCAGCGAATCCAGGGTTTTTAAAATGTGCTCTTTTTCATCATTTATTCTTAAACCATTACATAATTAAACCGGGTTCCCCTGGGCCCCACAACTATAAGTGACTTATTCAAAATCATAATTTTAAGAAACATAAAAGAAAAAAGAACCTCACCTTGCCCCAGTCCCTCTGGCTGGTGGAACTGGCAGAAGCCATCTTAGACTTCTTTTTGCTCTCCTTCAGCTTCTCTCCAGCCAACACAACCTCACTGGCGTCATTATGGCATCCTGGGCAATACCTGAGTCAGTATACAGAGTACAGGTCAGCTAAAGCACAGTGTGACAATAACAATTAATGGCCAGAAGCATGAAGCGATGCCACAAAACAGCTACAAACTGTGTGTTCGAGCACTTTGAGATCCTAAAGGTTCAATACATGAAGGAGCAGTAAAGGTTAATGACATGTATTTGAAAACTCCCTTCACAATGACAGGTGACCATTGCCACAAGACAACATTGAACTTATATCTTCACTCATTAACAAATGACTGCTAATTGCTAAACTTTAAATGTCAGGATATTTGAATATATACATCAGAATTTGAGTTTAGCATGATGCCACTGACCAGTCCTCGTCGTCAGGGATGGAGGTGAGCGGGGGGTTCAGGCAGTAGATGTGATAGGCCATGTCGCACTCATCACACAGCAGCTGTTTGTCGGGATCCTGCTTGATGCCGCAGACGTGGCAGTTACACCACTGGCAGTTTTTCTTGAGATTATCTTTGCAGTGCTTGCACTCGGGTCCATTTGATCCTGGAGAAGAAACACATTTCATTATATCATCTAATCCGTTTCTTTCTACAGCATTTTCATTAGGGGGTGTAATAGATACCAGTTAACACAATTAAACCTACTTTTCAGCGGACTCTCGGATCCAGCGGGTGTTTCATCCAGAGAACCAACCTCCTCGATTTTGTAGATTTCAGTCAGGAACATGATCCGACAATCATTAAGAGAGTCACCAGCATCACTGCAAACAGAGAAATAGATGTCAAGAAGGCCTTCGTAGTACTGGCACTTTTTCATGCTTATAATGTCATGATATAATATATATGATATAATTATGTTATGTTAATATATAATATGCGTTATGTTGTGATATAATTCTTATGATCACTCGAAAAGCTAAAACACCAAATGCATGAAAGTTAACAGGCATTTTTGAAAAATACAGAGAGAAACGCAGCAGTATGTTATAAATACAAAAATAAAAGGCTATCATTTGTATCATCGAAAGAGTCAAATATTTATTTTTGTTCCATTAAGTGTAAATGGGAGTTTATATTAAACCCAAAGTACTTAAAATATTACCAGCACATAGCAATATATTATGCAGGCTACTTTCATACCACGGCAGAAAGTTAACCTGTTACCACCGGATACAGCGCATCCCAAAAACTTTGATATACAGATAAAACGTGAATACAAGATGATGGCCTGCAGGTTGAACAAATATTTACTCAGATTAGGGGGAACTGCAACAAGTCAAATATCAGAGGGCCAATATAAAATGCAGACCTTTAAATTAGGGCTGTGCAATTAATCGTATTTTAATCGCGATTATGGCTTGCGACGATTAGGAAAACAGCATAATTGACTAAATACGATTATTTTGCTGGGTGCGCTTTCGCCCCTCCCTAAAAGCCCACTCGGCCACGTGGGAGTGACATGTGTTGTGAGTGTTCAGCGCAAGCGAAGATGTCAGAACAAGAGCAGCAACTAGTTAAAAAGAAGGGTCGCGGGGAGATTCCCAGTCGATCGCGAGATGTGTCTAAAAATAGAACAACAATATTCTGTTTTATCGTTAATGTCCTGTAACATAATGTTCCCGTGCCAGAATAATGCACTTGAACGCATCAAAGCTTTGTGATTGGCCGGCCTCACCCCATGTGTCCGGGCGTGGCTGGTGAGCAGTGCACTAGTTCGCTGACGTTGTCCGTGTCAACAGCATGGATGGTCAACAGGAGTGACAGTCCGCACACACACAAGACCGCAATTATGGCAGAAGCAAAAAAGCCCAAAATATATAATTTTCACTCCGAGTGGGAGGATCATTATTTTTGTATCTATTCCAATTCAAAGTCCATCTGTCTCATCTGCAATGCGAGCGTGGCTTTATCGAAGAAGGGTAATTTAGGAGCGGCATTTCAAAACTGCACAAACGCTACGAGACGGAATTCCCTCCTAATTCTGCCTTACGCTCCAAAAGGGGAGGGGCCTGAGAGCACAGCTAAATGCACAGCAGTCCATTTTCACCAGGCCCAACAACAAGAGCAAGGCTGCTACCAGAGCATCTTATCGTGTCAGTCACGTTCTTGCGAAACACATGAAGTCTTTCGAAGACGGCGAAGTTATGAAAGAAGCTTTCCTGGAGGCTGCGACGCGCTTTTGTGGGACAGTAAAAATAACAGCAGCATTTCAACAGGTTTTTGATATAATAAAAACTCAATTTAGATACCGTTATTAATCTGCTGTAAGTTTTGGTTTGTTTGAATTTATTCATGATAATTATTGTACAAAATGGTATAAGAATGCAAACATTAAGATCTGTTCTGTTTAAATTGATTATAGTCTATCAGTTCAGAAACTAGTGTTGCTTGCATCCTATTTTAAAAGGCATTTCTTTTTATACTCTAATAAAATGCAACAAAAAATGGGTTTGATTCTATTAATGTTGTCTTTTTTATTGCACTGTTGCAGCAGATTACTGTGTAGCTTCAGATCTGAGTTGTCTTATTAGTAAGCCTAATTTATACTTTTGTAGCAACACTATTTTTATATAATGGCAAAGAAAGGGTTCTTCAGAGTCTTTTCTTTTTTTCCTGTGTCATATGTGGCAGCACTGCCACAAGTTCCTCTTCAGAGAGGGTCTTCAGTACAGGTGGCAATATTGTCACCTGCCTGCGCTCATCTCTGAAACCAGACCATGTAAACAGGCTGGTATTTCTTGCAAAAAATCTTTAAGAGATGACATGAGCAGCCCTACCAGCATTTGCCATGGTGGCCTAAACATTTTTATTTGCTCTTAAATTGTAGTTCAATATGTATTTCCTGTTACTTCTGGACCATGACGGTTGGCCAGCCTTCAACGTTTAACTGAGTGGAATATGTTGAATATGTTTTACCAAAATGTTGGCTATATGTTAAGGAGTTTTCAGTAGGTTGTGACAGTGCACTGCAACATGTTTGATTTAATTTATTTTGGTCTAATTTATTTTTATTTATCATATTAATATATGTTTAGTATGGTTTTGGAAGTGCGCTCCAACACATTTATTGATCTTGTTTATTGGTAAAATATTATTTGTTTTAAAGTTCAATAAATGGTCAATGAATAATCGTCAAAATAATCGTGATATCAATTATTGACCAAATAATCGTGATTATGATTTTTGCCATAATCGCACAGCCCTACTTTAAATGCAACACAGCACTTACCCAAGGAGAATCTTGGCGTCGATTTCTTTCACTGTGCGAGTCTCCCTCTTCTTCTGGATCTCAGCGTCGTACCAATAGCCACGCTCCTTGGGGTCGTCTGGGTTGAAGTTGACCATAACAACCATCTTTGGCTCCAGCTGGTGCCACTGGTACACCGTGCGGGCCCGAGGGCGAACATCCTTGGCCAGCAACTGAACCAGCCCGTTCTCTGGGTAGCTGCGATGGTAAAGGTGATACCAGGTCAGTTGGCAGTTTGGTGGCAAGCCACACACCACTACAGGTGCTTCCTACACACTGCTGCATGGGAGTGTAAAAGTATATTTCGCTCAACTGCAGGTACACTTAAGGTGGGGTAGGTAAGTTTGAGAAACCGGCTCGAGATACACTTGTTATATTCCATGGAATGCTCTTAACATCCCGATAGCAATGAATATCTTAAGAAACGTCATCTGTGGAACCCGTAATAGTGTAAAAAGTACAACCAATCCGTTTAGCCGAGGATTGCCGTCCTGTCTGTCAGCCTTCCATCTCGTGCACGCACAAATGTATCTCGTGCCCTCATTGGGCGTGCATTGCAGCAGTACTTCAATGACTCGCCAGCAACAGGCGGCCACTTTCACCAGTCTGCTGACGTCATGTGCGCTTTCATGTGTGTTGGAGGAGGTGCTCTGAAGGAAGGGGCGGATTATTTTCGGCTGTGTACTTTCACATTTTAGTGCACTCGAGCCGGTTTCTGAAACTTACCTACCCCACCTTTAAGCCGAATGTTCCTCAAACACCAACATACTTCCAAACTCCCCAACCGACACAATCGTGTGTTTAAGTGACGTCCAGAGTTCATTCTCATGACCATTTACTTTCGTATTTGTTTCTATTAAATAACCTCTAATGACAAGTAAAGTTAAAAATCCTGGATTTTGGGGCAACCAGTTTACTTGATTCTGGCCATCACATCATAGTGGAGTAAATACAAAATATACTCAGTGTTTGGAAGATAAAAAAAACATTGCAGGTGGTTGGCTGATATTTTCAAACATAGATTCACAACATAGCTTTACATGTTGATTGATGGACACAAATAGAAAAGGGATTCTTACTCTTCGTATTTAACTTGGTACAATATCTCCTCCTCTGCTGGCTGTGCATCAGCAGCTTCTGCTTTAGGCGTCTTTGTTGACTTGGTAACATTCAAGATCTGCGCTTCAAACCACGCCCCCATGTTTAAGTCCCTTGCATCCACTAGCTCATTGATCTGAATGACGCAAAGAAAAAAAAAGTTAGAACAATCTTGAAATACATTTTAAAGGCTGTAACATTTGTCCTCAACACATTATTAAGTGTTCTGTAAATATGATTCGTCCGTTTGTTTTCAAAAGGGCTCATGTGAACTTCTGTTTCCTTACATACACAGAATTTCTAAACATGAAACATTTTCACAATGTCTATAAGAATCCTTTGGACGAAATGTAGACCGGCTCAATTACAGCCCAGCTTCTCCATTCAAATCACCTACATTTGTATATTCATGTCAAGTGTTCACCAACAGCAACTGTATTCACACAGAGGTGTTGTGCTAGAAAAACATGCACTTTTATTCCTACATTTAGAAAGTGTCTTCTGGAAGGCACTCAGTGTGCCATGTGAAAACTGTCTGAAACATTGTGTAAAGATTATGAAGAAGTATGATAAAAGAGCTAGAAAGAAGTTAAACCCCCATGTTATCTCAACTCCACACAGCTGGCCTCTAACTGTAAAAAGTGGGTGTGAACGTCGGGTCATGGCAAGAAAATATATCAAATAAATGTTTGCATTAAAAGCTGCTTCGAGTAATGTTAGGAAGATGAAGGGGTCATGACTCCCTCTGATATCCATTTTATAATTCTGTTAAAACATATACTGCATAATAAGTGCATTTATTCGGGTTCGGCACTACATGATTTTACAAGATACCATGTAGAACATTAAATAATGTTATAATTTACCTATACTCATCTGTACTGAAAGGAGCTTAAAGGCATCATTATTATGGTCAATGCAACCTTGCCATCTGTTAGCTTCATCCAAGAAGAACTGTGCCGTCCACGGGTGGCTAACAGCTAACTTTAACTGTGTTGGTCAGACTGTAGCAACTGCATGGATCTCCAAGTATAGAGCATTAATGTCGATTTCCCAATCACATATTTCTTTTATTAAAATCATTCGGGCATCTTTGCTTGAATCTTTTCTTCTCCCCACGCTGACCTAATTGTTCAACAAACAACTTGAATGGGTGACGAGCGTGCTCCCAACATTACTGTAGCTAAATGCAGGTCTTACGCCACAGCTGTTCACTACCTATCCCTAAAAGATCAATTAAATGTTCCCCTTTCCTGAAAGTACAGATAACATGCAAACACTTTTTAATCCAAGCCAACAGCTTTAGAACATACCTTGTAAGATCCGAACCCTGGATCAACGAGCTCTGTGGTGTTTGTTGTGGAGGAGGTGCCGGCGGTCTGAGCCTCGGCCTCCCTGTGAGTTGAGTTCTTGTCGGATTCACTCCGGGTTGATCCACAACCAGAGTCAGAGTCTGAGAGCTCTGCTTCTTTGTCTTTCACCACATCAACCTTCTGCCTCACAAGCAGTTGCACTATATCGTTTAGGCCCACATTGTAGTCGAATATGGTATGGCCGTCCTCCATCTGATGTTAAAAAACAAGGTTAAAGTTTGTATATCCAAAAAACAAACTTTAGATCTGCATTTATCACGTTCACATTAATGCATATTTTGTATTACACGTTTTACATTTACCACTATGTTTAAAGGACAGTCTTCTTTAAACACCAATACGTTTAAGAAGCTTCAAACTTTAAATTACTGGGACACAATCCAACAAAACCAGAGACTTGTCTGAGCAAAATGTTTACTAAGCTGCTTCACCTGCTTGCCGCGGTAGAAAAGTCTCTGCAGGTCTGGCTCCACCTTGAAGAGCTCAGAGATTTTGAGACGTAGCTCATCCACCTTGGTGAGCTTGGACAGGGAATCCACCCGGTGGGTTTCACTCCCATCCATTGTGCGCACTTGAATCCACATTGCAGCTGCCCTGTGTTAACAATCAATACATGTACCATTATAGTGAAAATAATAATAATTGTTGTAGTAGATTCTGCGAGTATTCACTCATGTTAAATGGATGATTTTATCAACAGCAGCAGCAGATGTCAGTGATCTGATAGAAGCCAGTTTTGTCAAACACATTATCAACAGCATGAGCAACACGATTTGTATGCTATTAATTGGTTGGTATTTGCATTTAAATCCAACTGCAGCCACATTAAAATCATTTTAGTAAGTAATACATGATTTAAAAAAATAATAGAGTAAGACTGATAAAAAGCATTGAATGGCACATCACTATGACCTTGCCCCCATCCTAATATTTGGTTTGTCCACTTTTTTATAATGGAAGCAACACAGCAGTTTAAATAGTTTGAGAATTAATAACTTTCTCTTTCAATTGCATGTCCAAATCGTAGTAGTACCCACAATGACCATTCTTAGGCTTCTTTATGATTTTAAACTAATTCAAGTCATTTCGCAATGCAGATATCACCATCTTGAGCCAGGTGTTTCTGATATCTTGTGCGCCATATCAAAGACACTTCCTTACAGAGAACAATACAGATCCACTGATTGTGACTCTTCAAACTACAAAGGCATTACACATGACATGTCAGTTGTTAGACGCTTTTATCCAAAGCGACTTACATACTCAATACTGTGGGTAGGGCTGGGCGATTTGGCCTAAAAATAAAAATCGCGATTTTTTTTTCTAACTAATGGACAATTTTCGATTTAAATCTCGATTTGTTTCTGTTTTTTTCTAAACAAACCAGACCAAGGCTCTTTTAAGTGAACGACGGGAGCCGGCTCTCGCCCGCGAACGAGCCTTTTTTTTGTTTTTTTTGCGGAGGGATCTAGATCGGCATGAAGGCACGTTATGCAATGTGCACATCATCCCGCTTATTACACATGGCCACATTCTCAACAAAGTAACGACATGACTCCTAATATTAATTGAAATGCTTTTATGGATTTAGAAAATGATTTTATTGACTTAAAAAATAGTTTTATGTATTGATTTAAATTGACAAGCATCCGCTAAGAAAAGTAGTCCGTTGTTACTGTTTGAACTAACGTAGCAACGGCAGGAACTGCTTCGATAGTGTTTTTGATTACAGATTTGAAAACATCGTTGCTTGCTTTAAAAGTAGCACACTTCATGTCAAACCTTGGGAAGTATCTAGATATCCCTGCCCTAATGCCAAAGTAACTGCCAACTGAATATGTGTCGCCGTTTGATGTCTATGTCTGGACCGCTGCGTAAAAAGGAGGGTTTCTGCCCCATTACTTCTATAAGAATAAAACAAGGAGGACGGAGATCTCTTTTCCTCCCCCTCTACAGACCGCCCAGCAGCTGATCTCAGAGCAAAATATTTATATAGGTCGATACAGTAGCCCCTTTTTTTTTTATTTTTTTAAATAGTTTGTATAGGTGTTGCTATCTGTTTTGTGTAGCGTGGTTCTACAAGCAAGTCAATGCATTCATTGGGTGGTATCAGAGATTTACACGGGTCTGTAAATGCAATGAAAACAATTGGCCACAGCAAATCATTTATATTAAACTTTATTTACTCTTGAATACTTCAGTACAAAGGATGTATTGAATAATTTAAGTGATATGTGTACACAGAGCTGCAGATCGGGTAGTCACAGTCAATGTGGCTGAGTTTTGTGCGCGTTCTGGAAAGTGAGAGAGTAAGCTACTACGGAGTCCCTTAAAGCAAAACAAATCTGCGGAGTCAAGAAATGTTTTTAAATCGCGATTTTTCGGTTCAGCCATTTCACAAACCGTAGGAAAGTAAAAATGCAAATTAATCGTTAAAATCGCCCAGCCCTAACTGTGGGCAATCCCCACAGGAGCAATTTGGGGTGAAGTGTCTCAGGGACACAACGGCATAGTGACGGCAGTGGGGTTTGAACCTGTGCTCCCTTAATCCGAACACCATCGCTCTATCCACTGTGCCACACGCCTCCCAAAGGCAATGTTAATGCTGAGGTGGCCACATATCAGCTTGTAAGTTTTCAATACACAAAAAAAAAAGCATTTCATCGTGGATTGTTGCTTTTCATAATCATTGCATGGACATTATTCTCTATAACAAATCACCTCTGGCCGGAAGAGAACTGTCTGCTCCATAGCTTCTCTTAACAACTGGACTTAAAATCACACTGGACATTTTACATGAATATTCTATTTAATATTGGATAATCCATTCTTGCACAATAATATCCTGCATTATATTTGTTTTATCTTTTTAAATGCTATTTTATTCATATTTATGAAATATATTGGACTGTTTATTTCTGTGTCTTCGTTTCTCTTGTGTACATTGCCTTGTGTTTTTTATGCTGCTGCAACGCAAAAACTTCACAAATTGGGATCAATAAAGTACCTACCTACCTATCCATCATAGAGTTCCTGCCAATTAAATCATTAAAATGATGTAAATGAAATGAATTCAGTTAAAAAGGAAAATGAAATGGTGATCAGCAGAGGGAATTTGACCATATCAGTGTTGGTCCGTGTATTGTCTTTCTGTCAGCACTGGGCTGTCACTTGAACAGAGAATCAGAAAGGGAGGGAACAGGCTGATTTAAATACAGTGCGGGAAACTGAGCTGAGGCCACTCCCAGTTCTTTTAAAACTGAGCAGCACATCCGGACGGGAGGGAGCGCTAGCAAACAATGTGCCTTCAGTCTCTCACAATAAAACACACCGAAATACTACCTTATGTGCACCATGGAATCGATTATAACTGTACTTAAACGCGCCTCTACTTGCATAAGCCGTGTGTTGTTCTTTCTCGGTGGTAAACACTGAGCTCGACGGCTGCTTGGTTTTTACTTTGAGTTCTCAGCTGAGATGTTGGTCGCTCTGCTGGCTCGAATAAACCCGTGAACAAAACATCACCAACAACATTGATACAAAAACGACTTCCTCTCTCCTGATATGCGTTCATTTACCGAGATCATTCCATTTAAACAAAATGTAGACAAAATATGAGTCGTTTTTCAACACGGAAAAACTGGAAAATAAATAGTGTTTGGAGGTTGGCGTGGTGTGTTTTGCTTCTAAGGAAGCGGTGAATTGCCAAAGCTAGTTATCTCACCATATGTTAGGCAGTATGTGGTAATACTACAAATAAACAACAGCTCAAGTCAAGTTCATCATGCACCTATCAATGCTTTATGTTTCAGCAAACCACGTTACAACTTATTGTTCGAACCCTTTCAACAACGTTAGGTTAGCACAGAGAATTGAGAGTACATTCAACAGCAAACAAAACTCTCCCAGTGACAAAATATTTAATTTACAATTTTACATTTTGCTTGCTCCTACGGTAGGTAAGCCAAACATAAACGAGGTGACTTTGTGAAGTTAGCTAACCATAGTGAGCTAGCCAAGTTACTGTGAGAAGATTTCAATGAGTACCATTTTAAAAGTTATTTTAACACGAGAAGAAATCTGCTTTACCTGATGGTTCGTCCAAGTGAAAACAAGAAATAGAGGTTTACGGAGTAACGCGCACGTTTTCCGTAACTAACTTCTGTATGAGGTTTGCACAAGCAACTCTGCCTTGTTGGAGGTTGATCAATGAGTTATTCTTCAAGACTTTTATATCCCGCCTGCTCTAATAATACAGCTTCCCCATTGGCTAATTTGCTGGAGCTTAGCTTCAGCGCGCGAAACGACATTCTCGTGGGTGCAGCTTGCCTCCGGAGATGTATCGCGAGATTATGAAGGGCACGGTAAACGGGTAACCATGGGACAGACAGATGGTGTTCTGGTAAACAACCCCACTGAAAAGCTGTTTATCGTGTTTTTACATGTTACTGCTTCGTTATTTATTTTCACAATTAGTTTGGTTCTTTGACCTTATCTTCTCAATATATTAAACGTTTATGTGGAGCCCCATATTGACCTTATAATCTTGTCTAAATAATTTATTGATTGATGTGTAATTACCTTCCCTTCAGTTTGGCGGGAGCTGAAAGTCAATGAGGCCAACTCAATTCAAACTAGTGCACTGGAAATAAGAGGCAGGTGTTTGTTTGAGAGGAGCTGTGTGTGTGTGTGTGTGTGTGTGTGTGTGTGTGTGTGTGTGTGTGTGTGTGTGTGTGTGTGTGTGTGTGTGTGTGTGTGTGTGTGCGTGCGTGTGCGTGTGCGTGTTTCCTTCACGCTACACACGTGATACACACACAATGTGCAATATGATGCCTGTCATTTGCCATATCTGATTATCTTTATTTAGTGGCTTTATACTAAACTTGATCCACAGCATTTCTAGCTTAAATGTAGGGTAGGTAAGAATGGGAAAAAACAGCTCAGAACAGTGTGCTAGAATTTGAAAGTACTTCAGACTTCCCTCCTTCAACACAAACGAACCACACATGACCAATGAGGGCACGAGATACATTTGTCCACAGATTGTGCCACGGCTTCCAATCCACATATGACGTTATTTTATGTATTTATTGTCAAAGCATGTCATGTATTCATTGCTATCGGGATGTTAAGAGCATTCCATGGAATATAACAAAAAGTGTTTCTGAAGTGAATTACCTACCCTACCTTTAAGTCTGGCCCTCTAAAGTCACTTTTTAGTAAGACAGTTTATTTGTCTGACAAACTAATGGACTTCCTTAAACTTTAATCTCTGTGTTATACAATTTGCAATAGTTTGTGTGATGCCATTCAATTCAGAAATATATAATAATAATATGGTCCTGGCCATCCTGCAAATGCAAACATGAAACATCCTACAACAGAGATCTTGGGAAAAAGTATTTATTGCTTTTGTATTCGGCAAGATGCTGATACTGTATGTTGCTGCTATGAAAATCAAAAGAAAGTAGGTCCTAAGCTTCTATTAATGTTGTAGGCTAAGGCCAGTGAAACACAAAGGAAGATTTCAGAGCTAATGTTAACAATTTAATAATTATAGATTTACTTTATTTCTATTGCAGGTTCTCAATATGTGTATGCCTACAACTTTAAAATAAACTGTTGCTAGGTCATCAAAGGAAAACATTTTCCAACTGAAACAGGGATTTTTAGGATATTTGTATAATAATAAATAATAATGATCATAAGTTTAACTTGTTCATGTATAGTGACATCATGTAATCCACATATTCAAAAGTGCTGTCCATATTTTAAGGACAATCTCCATTTCCATAATGTTAGATTTCTTTCAGAAAGAAATATTGCGAAAGAGTTGATTAGTAGACATCAAAAATAAATACTTATCCATTTGAGGTATGTAAGCTCGAGAATAAGGGGAAAATGTATTCCTCATTTCTTAATTACTTAGGAACTAACACACTTAGACTCTAGGTACCTTAAAAATCATCTTCATATTGCTTCCTAAGAGACACTACTAATGTATGTCTATTTGTAGCTGAAAACCCAGTCCTGACTATACAGTAACTGTGAACCTCTGAAAAAAATGGATCTTCCCTTAGCCGAGAATCCCCTCACTAAAGCACTTCCCTTGTCATTTGGGCTGCTCAGTAAGAGCTATTACTCCCAGGGGTTTATTTGTGTAACTGTAAAAATGTGTAGCAGAGCGCTACTTAAAAGAAGAGTGTGCATGTTGAGAAAATCCTTCCCAGCATGAACAAAGTTTCCAGACTACAAGGAAAGCCACAGAGTGAGGTCTATGAGCTGTATGGTGTCTCTGGTGTGGTGGGTCCTGGACAAAGCTGCCTGGCAGGGACTGAACAGCACTCGGAGCTCAGGGAGGATGACAGGAAGTGGACGCGACAGGCCAAGTCGTCCAGGAAATCCTTTTGTAGCTTTGTTATTGCTTGAGAAAGCACAACGGGAAGCGACTGCACACTGAGAAGGATGGAATCCAGTTTCTCTTCCAGAGCTACAATCCTCCTGTCCAGCTCCTCACTTCGATGTTGAAGCTCCAACACCAGATCGTACATCATGTTCTGGGTCTGCAAAGCAACAGGGAGGACAGTTCATTCACACATTTTACAGCACAAGTCATCATCAGGGTAAGTGGAGCGGGGAACTTATCTCCTCATCTTTACATACATCATAAATGCAGAAATGTTGTAATTTTTTTTGAAAAGATACAAAATCTCACTTCCCCAGGAAACAAAAATCTGTTTTGTCACCTATCAATGCCCTGGCATAGTAGATAAACAACAGACGACCACATCTTTGTAAGTGGTAACATGTAAACCCTATTTCAGTGGACATTTTGTAATATGGTTTACTTGGATTAAGTTATGGTAAACTACATACTTTTGGTTTCATCTTGCAAAAACACTGAAGACAGCCCTATAGTGACAAACTCAACAACATACACTGCTTTTACAAACCTTGGCAAGGTCACAAACTGTATTGGCCTGATCAGTTAGTTTCCTTTGCTCCATTTTGACTCTTCGCAGTCTGAAATAGAAAATAAGAATCAAAGTCATGTTTTGTTCCATTCAAAATAAATGCAGAGTAAGGTTTATCTTTGACAAAGTAAGTCACAACCTTGGATGGATCATGTGTAAACCAATTTAACTTGGAGTCAGTATCAAACCCCACAAAAGACACATGAATTAAGAACACATTACCCCTTGTTAATATATTAGAAACCAATTAAATACGTTTATAAGAGCAAAGGGTGACAACAATGTATACATTCCAGTAGTAACTATCAATTTGATGTTGTCTTTACTCTAGACTTCATGGTGATGACATGTGTACACCTACTGGTGGATGGCTTGCAGGAATTTACGCTGATGGTGGCGTACTCTGGCACGATCAATCTTCTTGACCAGCTTGGTGTTTTTGTAAATGAGCCAAGTCTCCCTCAACACATTGGCTGCTGTGTTTTTTACCTGTGGATGGGAGAGTATCATGCAGATAGAGGGATCTAATTAACTGTCTCCAGTAACATTTACAGTGAGTAATGTGTGTTGATGAGGTTTCTCTCTAAAGGTCTTTGTCACAGAAATTAGACAGAAACTGACCAAACATGGCCCCAAAAAAACAAAACAGTATTTTACGTTTAATCTGCAGTTCTGTCAATATTAACAAAAATACAATCATTACCTTTTTGTACAGCTGAGTATCCAACATGAAGTTATGGACATGCTTTTCGGCTCTGGTGAGTTCGGACTTCCTTGCAACAACAGCGACCACTAAAGCCGTGCAGCCGGCTCCCTGTGGAGAAGAGCAGTGGTTAGTGACACTGTATTGTTACATTAACACCAACTATATTTTCACTATTAATAGAGTAATCTTTATACTGGTATTTAAGAAACATTGTTATGAAACCAAACAAGATTCAAGCTTCAGTAAGCAGAAATTATGGATTTTGTTATGTAAACTGGTAAATATAAAACAGTTAAACGTATTTGTGTATTTTTCCTATGATTCGTGCTTCATGTAATTTTTATTCGTTTTTTACCCATTTTAAGTCATTAAAATGTATTACATTGATAATTGAAGGACACAGATTGTTTGGGATTACTCTTCACTACAAGCCAGTTGTATTGTGCCTATCTCACCATGATTCCTGTCAGCAGACAAACTCCCTTCCCACAGTAGGTGTGAGGGACCATGTCGCCGTACCCGATGGACAGGAAGGTGATGGAGACCAGCCACATTGCTCCGAGAAATGTACTGGTCACCTCTTGAGCATCGTGATACCTGTGGAGGCATGACACCTGGATGTAAATCTGAAAGGTCTGAGAGATGTCTTGCTCAGTTATTCTTCTTAACGTAAGAAGATTAAAAAGCAGACTAACACTAAGTATGATTACTCAAAATTACATCTCATTTGAAGGTGAAACCGGTACTCAGATATTTTACCTGGTTAAAGCAGGAATACAACCAAAGTCATTAAAAAAGTTATTTAAACAAAAATATTATAATCAAAATGTACTTAACGCAAAATAATGAATTTATTTATTATATCGATATATTCATGGGGAGCTTGTGAAATTCCTTCAGCTGGGTCAATAAATGCCTATTGAAATAATTAAATTATGAATCATATGTTGTGTTATTAAACTAAATTGGCAAATCACTAGGGCCTAAAGTTATTCAATCAATGTATAAGAGTAGAGGTACAATAGTTGCCTCTGAGATTGGTGGCCTTCAAACCAACAGAAAATGGTATTAACTAAGTACAATCCCTAAGTGTTACTTACTACTAGGGTTGGGTACTGAGAACCGGTTCCGGTTCGGAACCGGTTCCAACATTTCGATTCCAACGGCATCATTTAGAAATGTGAATTTCGGTTCCGCTTTTCGATGCCTGAGGAAATGTTTTTCGCCGCTCTCCGTAGCCCTACTGTATGACTGTGGCGGGGCGGGAAATGTAGCGTTGTACCCATAGATATATATAAACACGTGTTTATATATATCTATGGTTGTACCCTGCAGCGCCATATTATATTATACTATTATATGGCTCTGGTTGTTGTACCCATAGATATATATAAACACTAGATGGCTCATGGGAGATTTTCCAGCGTAGCTGACCGGCCGCTATCTTGCTACAGTCAACAGTTACTCTGATTCGCGTTATGGTAGCTGTTGTAAGGTGAGTGATCTGCACAAAAATACTCTTAACTCGCTGAAATCTTGACTGATTTACAAACGGTTTGGTTTATTATAAACATTATTAGCATGGCTATGATACAGGATGCTTGGACATGTTGAAATTGCAGCTTTTCTTTGTGTATGTGGTTGTATTTATTAGCTGGCTAATAACAAGAGGCTGTGAGTGAGACCTAGTATTACAAAGTTCACCCAGCAACTTTACACAAGTGGGAGAGGCAGAACTGGTCTTTCTTTTCAACATAACTTAAGTTACACATGATTTCTTCCAAGTGGTTTGGCTTGTTAAAAACATCTTGCATTATGATACAGGAATTTGCTGGCTTTGTGTTTACAGAAGTACCTGACTATGCCGGACTTTTGTGCAGCCTACGGATGCTCCAATCGCCGCTGTCTGCAAACAAGAACCCGTGGGATCACCACATATGTTTATGTTTGCTCAGTCTAATAAACCCATAACATGGTTGTGAAAGAATACCAAAGCTGAGGCTGGACGATGATTGATTGTTGGTGTGCCATGTGTCACCGTGTGTCTTATTGGTTTTGTGTTATACTGTATTTTATTGTGTGCAGCTGGTCCTTATCTCCAAGACACATTTAAAACAAATAACCTTGAACCTTGAAGCCCCATCTCTCCCCACCTGCTCCTGCTTCCTACATCCCCTCCACACCACACCAAGTTGTTCTTCTTAATAATAATAATACATTTATTTTGGGAGGCCGCCTTTCATAACACCCAAGGACACCTTACAGGGGCATAGGGGCAATATAGGGAACAATTTAAACAGTGGATTTTGTGATATATCAGCCGGGGTGAGACAAGACAAACCACAAATGGACTACAGAAGGACACAAAAGGACACATGGTACAGTTTATATTATTCTTGGTCTTTTTTCAATAACATATTTCAAAGGTTCTGGATTTGTTTACAAATCTAGAAACTAAATACAAAACTAGGATTATATGAAGATCTCATGTCAAAAATAATTGTGATAAATTAGACAGAACTGGCCTGTCTGTGAGCACATTTTATGTTGGTTTGGTTCTTCTGATAAGGTGTGAATATCTAAATAATATACCAACATATGCTATTGTCATTAGTTGTGTCCTGTTCTTCAAGCTAAGGCATTGCTAAATTAACAACTATTGGCTTACAGAGTGGTAACATGAGACCGATTTGTATATATAAAATATAAATGTATTTTAATTTTATAATTTATTTATAATTTATTTTAAATATTAACAATATAATAAAATAAATGGAAATATATACACCGGCAAATATTTAATATAAATACCTTGTGTGTGAGTGTATAGCTATTGCTTTATCTGATTAATGTTATTTTCATAAGAAAGTCCATGATTATAAGTATGCAGTATCATAACTACATCTTTGATGTTTATAAAAAACCAAACCGTTTGAAAATTGGTTGAAAATTGAGCAGGCTATGGTTATTATCGCTGCGAGGGGGACCCAAGTTCCCATCGGCAAAAACACGTGGGTTTGCTGTCCTGGCTCCAAGATGGTGGAATGAGCTCCCCATTGACATCAGGACGGCAGATAGCTTGCACATCTTCCGGGGCAAACTGAAAACTCATCTCTTTCTACTCCACTTCGAGCGTTTGAACTATTAACGAAGCACTTTTATACTAATAAAGGACTGGCTTACCTAAAGCCAGTTGAGTAGCACTTGAAATGTTTGGCTCTATGAAACCTGATGTACTTATATGATTCTGTTTTCTTCAAGGTTGTGTCTTCCTGGTCGAATGTACTTATTGTAAGTGGCTTTGGACAAAAGCGTCAGCTAAATGCAATGTAATATTTAAATAGTAAACCATAATGTTATGAATGAGAGCACTGCCTGTAGCAAGATGGCGGCCAAGTGGCAACGTCGGTCTCCATTGGCCAGCAGCGCGGGTGAGTCATCTAGTGTTTATATTAGGGCTGTCAAGTTAATGCGTTAATAACGCGTTAACGCAAAAAAAAATTAACGCCACTAATTATTTTAACGCGATTAACGCATGTGTATTTTTTTTCCTCGGCCGCCCCGTAGTTTCAGAGCGCATCGAGTTTAAAATACCATCTACAAGCTGATGCTGACAGCCCCGCTCCTGCCGCCCGCTTGTGGCAGACCACACTTCCACGCTCACCGGCAGGCACCGACTGGCTATTGGGAGGACCGGGAGGGTGTGTGTATGTGTGGCTCGAGCGAGCGAGCGAGAGAGAGACATTAGAGGCTTCTCAATACTCAAATTTCCCCTCCTCGACTCCCCTCCTCGGTTCCCCTCCTCGAGACTTATGGCGCGTTTCCACTGCAGCGGGGTAGCCCCGTTTAAGCGTCCCTAAGCGTCCTCGCTCTGGCCTCGGGCTGCCTCACTGGCCGTCCGAGGCCGTGGCGCATTTCCATTACAGTTTAGTGTAGGCGGGGCGATCGGCTTTGTTTTTGTTCACATTTCGAGTTGTTCCGTCGAGCTCCCGCTGGATTTTATCATCCCCAATGAGATGAAGGAACGTCGTCACCTCCTCGGTCGACCACGTTGTGCTTTTCTTAGAAGTAGCCATTTTTGTAGCTCCTCCGTTTACAAAATGCTGTGTATAAAAATGCTGCAAGCTTGCTTCTAGATATATATGCGACGCTAGGGATGAACTCGCGCGCAATCTTGTGACGATTCTCTCTGACCAATCAGCAGTCGAGAGTGTTGACGTCACTAGTTCAGCCCTGGCCCTGGTCTGAGGGAACCACGATTTTATGAGGCCGGAAAAAAGAGGGAAAAAGTACCCGCTGGCCGGTACTAGGCTATATGGAAACGCCACCAAAAACCGGCCTGGCCGCTTGAGGACGGTTAAGGACGCTTAAACGGGGCTACCCGCTGCAGTGGAAACGCGCCATTAGACCCGCCCACAGGAGATGCGAGCGGAGGACCGAGGAGGGGAACCGAGGAGAGAGGAGGGGAAGCAGCAGACGTTTAAAGAAATGAGAACTCCTCTCCTCTGAGCGGTCATTTTAAAGAGCCGTCCGTTCATTATTATGTGGCAACAGCTGCATCAGCTGTCGAGTGTTTTGTCATAGCGCTGTATCTCTGTTAGATCAGCTGAACATTGTTCCCCCACATATTTACTTTGAATTCATTGAGAGTGCGGTATAATGAGACAATAACAGGCTACAGATGCGGACACACGCACACAAATATATTTATATAAATATATACAATTTAAAGTATGAGAGCACTCTCATAATAACGTAACACAATCAGAGACTGGATATATCCCCCCCTCTCTCTGGTCGCTGAAATGGGGAATTGAAATTACGGGCCAAAAGTTGTATTTACAAGTAGGCCTATTAAAAGTAAACAGAGGACACCAAACCAACTGAGACCCGTCTGTCCGCCGCATTTACGCACTGTACAACACACACCTACACACTGTACCACACACACCTACAGCTCCTAAAGCATAAGCCGTTGTGTATTTTATTATATGAAGCAATGGTCTTAGAAAAATATCGACTCTTTGTTTGTATATATCTACTAAACTAAAGTAAATAAAGAGAGTAGGCCTGTAACTGTTATACTGAGTGATATATATTATACACACTGCTCTGCTTTCTGCATGGACCTTACAGCTGTTCTCTCTGGAAACATCGCGACGCGATGAAAGCAGTTTCTAAAATAATATCCAGGGGATGCATGCATAGCTCTCATTGGCTGAGATAAGTCCGGCCGTGCGTCACGCCTCCACCGTTCCCGGAAATGCATCCGTGGAGGAGCCGTGGAGGAACCATCAGTATATCATCGGTTAGAGCTCCTCCAGAGAGCCTCCTCGACGCTCGATCCTCGGTCCTCGGTGTGCATTTAGAGAAATGAGATGTCCTTCAAAATGGCGCGCTGAAATTCATTTCCGCGTCACTACCGGAGGACCGAGGACCGAGGAGTCGAGGAGGGGAAATTTGAGTATTGAGAAGCCTCTCTTACGTGCATTGTTGTTGTTAGCATCTGGTGCTAGCTAGCTGCTTAAATGAAAACAGAGGAGCGACATTTCGCCGACAACTGCGCCGAGCACTTGACTTTATGCAGGCAGCCAGACAGTGGGACATTGTACGAGAAGTCAGCACACTCAGCACGGATAGTGCAACATGATTGCAGCGTCCAGGCAGCTCCCGTTCGAGCATATGCCTTGAGTTGCACATAGCTCCAACGATCCATCGCACACACACACACACACACACACACACACACACACACACACACACACACACACACACACACACACACACACACACACACACACACACACACACACACACACACACACACACACACACACACACCACACACACACACACACACACACACACACACACACACACCATTTGTATTGTATTAGGTTCCAGGTTGAATTGAGGCGAATATTTGTAATGTTCAGAAGTTGTTGTGTTTAATATTCATCAGAATATTTGTCATTGTTCAAATGATAATAAACATTAGCATAAAGCATATTTGTCCACTCATATGTTGATAAGAGTATTAAAAACTTGAAAAATATTCCTCTAAGGTAGCCTACATTTAAAACAGATCAAAAATGTGCGATTAATCGCGATTAACTATGGACAATCATGCGATTAATCATGATTAAATATTTGAATCGACTGACAGCTCTAGTTTATATATATCTATGGTTGTACCTACACTTCCTACAGCGTAACCTGAGACCAGGGCCGGCCCGTCGCACTGGCGTTATAGATGTTCGCCTAGGGCGCCAGATCTGTGGAGGTGCTGTGCTGACAGCTCTGGGAGGAAACAAAAATGTTTTGACCGTTGGTGCTCATCCTAATGTTCGGCCTTGATGTAACAAAATTCATAATTAAGTAAATGTAACACCCTTTTCATCCCGGTTACACTTTTCATTTGCCCTGTACGGTGGGCGCTGTAAGCGATGAAAATGGGGGATGTTGGCTTATCTGGCACCCACAGCTCACAGCCAACGTGCGAGTGAGCGAGGGTGAAAGGGAGGGTGCACCGGTACGCGCTGTTGCAGCCTGTCCTCCTACAAAAAACGACCATATAGGTCGATTGTTCAGCAGCTAAATACGACCCAGAGTCACGTTTTAAAGTGTAGCACCTCTAGTGGTCGTGTAAGAAACAACATGCTCCTGTCGATTGCAAAACGCTCCGGAGGGTCGTTTATTCACAAATTACCCTCTGGAAAATCCTAAATTGTGGAATAGTTTGGCCATTAAAATGCTTTTTTATTAGATTTCTAGCGAGAAGTGTATATTGTACTTTTATAATCTACGTCCAGTGGATGTGTAGGATCTACAGTTTGATAGATATACGAAGATAATTTGAGGTCTCGCCAGGAGAACGTGTACTGTATATGGGGCAGCTTCTATGTAAAGTTAGCATGGGTGAAAACAGTATTTCCGGTCTCGAAGTTTTCATAATAAAACCGGAAGTATTCCCCACACTGTCAAATGATCTCCATTACTCATCCACTAAAAAACATTAGTTTATCCTTGTTAATTACACAATATTGATTGGTTTAAATTGTGTACAATGCTTTTGTGTTTTTAACCTTCGATTCGGAGAAACAAATAGTTTTTTCGGAGTTTAGACACTACAGAGTTTCCGAAGACACTACACTACCCAGAATCCCCAGCTATCGTTTGGGACTACAACATCCGCCTTGATTTACAAACCCCGTGATTAGCCCTCAAGCTCTGTGATTGGATGTTGGAGTGGCAGTGCGACAAGGTTACGCCGAATGTCAAACAGCTCTTTGAAATGGAATGGAACCACGCCAGACTATCCAAAACTGGACTTGGACGGGTCCAGCCCAGCCCTCCCCCCCAGAATTACACATGCTGGCTATTGTGTGTTTCGCAATATGTTCTACGTCTCTACTGGGAATTGTAGTTTTATAAGACGTTTTCGTATTTCCCACAATTAGAAGTTGCCAGTATTCAACTGTATACATCCCTGGAGGTTTAGGGGATACGAAACACATTGGTGTTATCAAATTTAAAACATATAATTAATACATGGGTGAAAATTGCTTGTGCCCATAATGGGCAGCATTAATATAGGCCTACCCACATGACAGCTAAGGTCAGAAGAGCTTTATTTAACAGCTGGTCTTATGTCTGTGACCCCTCCTGTTGTTAATTGATAAGCCTGAAACATGCACTTGTCAAGGTTCAGATGCACATTTAGCAAATATGGCAGTAGCCATCGATCATCTTAAGATAAGATACTTTATTGATCCCAAGTTGGGAAATGTTTTTGTCACAGCAGCATGTACTACTTTGTTCTACTCCACTACAATTCAGAGGTCAACCTGGTATTTTTACTCTACTACATTTATTTTTGTTACTTTGCAGATTCTGATTAATGATGTGAAATATAAACAACCCTTAAATCAGACTTTCGTTACACCTGAGTAAAATCCAGCCTTATCAGTTTGTCTGTTTTGCACATCCACCTGTTAATATCTTTGGACGTCCTGCACTAAACTGTTTTATTGTAGAGATCACTACAGTATCTTCTTGATATTTTCTATTCTATATTTCTATCATTGACCCCTATTTTGTATGTAGGCTACTCTTAATATTTAAATGTTTTCATAACAATTAAACTTATTCAACAACTAAATTCAATAACGTGCTTTAACCACTAGGAGGTACGGTTTAGACCAGTGGTCTAGTTAATAAAACATAATAATATCAAACATAATATGACTATTCACTTTATTGTGAAATTAAAACAGAACGGTAAAGGAAAATACAGTTTCAGTCTCACAATGTGAAGCTTATGCATTGTACCATAAACTTGTATAGACCTGTAACAGTCAACTGCATGAGGAGTTGGAAAGGTAGTTCAGAAAATCAGTAATATCTTTAAAAACTACAAAAAAATCCCTTTCTATCAGCTGTGCACCGTTATGGTGTAAATACAGACTATCTACTTATTGGATCAAATATAAAAGTCAGCCGAATTAGTGTTGATACTGCAAGGAGACGTATTGTGTGAAAAGAAATGGAAGATGTTGTTTAATTGTTGATATGTTATGGTCCACGTCACGTATTCAGTTTTGGCGGCATCTCTTCCAGTTTGTCAAAAGGTCTTCTGATCAGGGCTCTATAAATACATATCTACGGCAGATATGTAATATTTAATGCAGCCGAACCGTGTATTACAATGCCGTTATGTGATGACTTTCAAAGAGAAAAGCAAGAACACTCGGAATAAAGTATTATTATTATTTTTTAAATGTTTTCCGATTTCATATCACATAAACACCATATCCCGACGTGCATTGCGGCGTGATTTTAGCCTATCAAAACCTCTGAAAAAAGAAATGTGTCTCTCAGAATCGAAAGAGAAAACCCTATGGGAAAAACACAAAAGCATTGTACACAATTTAAACCAATTAATGTCGTATAATTAACTAGGATAAACTGATGTTTTTTAGTGGATGAGTACTGCAGATATCACTGTTAAATCATTTGATCATTGGTTTTATTATGAAAACGTCGAGACCGGAAATACTGTTTTCAACCCGTAACTTTACATGGAAGCTTGCCGCATATACACGTTCTCCTGACGAAACCTCAAATAATCTTCGTAATATCTATCAAACTATAGATCCTACATAACGACTGGACGTGGATTCTAAAAGTACAATATATACTTCTCGCTAGAAATCTAATCATAAAGCGTTTTAATGGCCAAACTATCCAACAATTTAGGATTTTACAGAGAGGGTTATTTGTGAATAAACGACCATCTGTAACGTTTGCATTCAACGGGAGCACTAGAGGCCGACAACTTTAAAACGTAATTATAGGTCGTATTAAGCGCTTGAACAAACGACATATTTGGTCGTAATAAGGGCTTAAACAATCGACCCATTTGGTCGTATGAGTTGGAGGACTTGTTGCGCTGTTGTTATTAGTATCTGGTGCTAGCTGCTCTAACGGAAGAAGAAGATGTTTCTACAATGATGTGGAGGGAGATTCCTCTCCAGTCAGACTGAGAGGCTGAGTGTTTAGATAGTTCACTTTAATCTAAGTTATCTCAGTGGGTCTCAAACGTTTTGATCACAATTCACAAACAGATTGAAGCATTTTACTTTAAAATGTTCAAACATTTCTTCCCGGTATGCCTGAGAAGGCAGATATGCTTGTTTTTCTCAACAAGAACTGTTTTTAAATGGGAGGGGGGGGGGGGGGGGGGGGGGGGTTCCTTTAAAAGTTGGACTGTTGCACTGTTGTAGCTTCAGTGGCTCTCAGGTTACAGTTACATTATAGCAGTGAATATAAACAGACTGATTAATGTGAATATTACTGTAAACTAACCTGTGTAAAAGTTTCTCGAATAAATGTAATTTTTTTGGTGGAAGAAGCATGTATCATTTTTTTACCCTGCCCCTCAAAGAATCGGAATTGAGAACTGTTAAGAACCGGAATCGAAAAGTAGAATCGGAATCAGAATCGTGGAAATTCAAATGATACCCAACCCTACTTACTACTTAGTTACCCTCCACCACTGTTGGTTACTAAAGAAAGAAAAGGAAGACTGAGACGTTCAGGAGTTTAAAGCTGCTGTACCTCTCACACACACGCACGGTCCACGCTGCGATGATCCAACAGGACACACTGAAGACCAGCAGGACTGTGCCGGGGCAGATGGTCATCAGAGTCTTCATGACAAAACGAGTGTCAAAGCTGATCTTGTTGAGCGCCCCGATACTGCGGGAGGAAGCGTCGGTGAACAGCTTGCTGTGGAGCAGCATGACCCGGCCGATGAGGTAGAGCCGCAGGAACATCGGCACGGAGAGGATGATGTCGATGTCAGCGTCCGCCACTGATGCTGTGTAGCTGAAAGCCAGGCGAGCAGTCCAGGTGAACACATACTGACCTGGGATCGGATGGATGGCACAGATAAGGAGCTCGAACGCTACAAAGAGAATCCGCTCAAAGGTCATTGCTATCCTCCAATCGTCGGCTCCGTTGTCCACCATGAAGAGCTGCAGGGAGAAGATTGTAGGGGAACCTAATTCATATTGCATATTAAAATACATGATCTAACCTCGAAAGCAGAGAAAAATGATGATGAATATTTGTTTGGACAGAAGATTTGAATTATTTTTAAATATTTCGAAAATAAGTCAAAGTGTTCACCTGGGTAATAATAAGGGTAAACCAAGATACACACAGGTATGCACTGATTTCTTTGAATTATTCCACATACCTGGATTTCCCTGGCATGGTACATCACAATGAGTCCAAGAAGAATGGCAGTAGAGAGGCTGATCAGACCTTTCAGGACATATGAATATATGGATTCCTGTGTAAATAATGGAGATTAAATGGTCATTGCATTACATTTTGAAGACACACTTACGAACCAAAATAAAAAGTCAAGGAAAACGTTATTATCACAAATAAGGGAATTCACGGTGCAAAGGCACATAAACCAGTCATTTAAACAGATAATTAAATGATGAAATAAAAATAGGTGATGTTTGCCCTCAAATCAATGGATTTTTTCAAAGCTAGGGCTCTTTATTGAAATAAAGTTGCTCATAGGGCTTTCAATGTTGCGACTCAGTTGCTATTGTGGCACTATAGGGCAGCCGTTTGTTTAGCCCTATACCGTCTATGGTTTAGCCTCTGATCAGGTAGTACATCAAAGAAACATGTGAAACCTTTTCTGCTCTACATTACACTTCTTTGTTAATCTGTTATATAAAAATAAAGTGGGTTTATGGAGGACTCAAGTACCTTGGTGTAAAATTCCCTTGACAGCTCAGTCTCGATCACCATGACAATAATGCCAAACATCCCACAGACCAACGCGTAGTCGCTCAGCTGCTTGCGCTTCCCAAAGAGAACTTTTCTCTGACCCAGCCGGTAGCTAATGTCCTTGGTCTTCTTCCGTGGTACGCTGCCTTCCTCCCTGCTCAGGTTCTCACTGTTGGCCTTACTGGAATCTTCTCTGATTACTTTGGAAAAAGCGTCCTCCAGGATGGCACTGTGAAGGAGCTGGAGAGGCTGTTGGCCTGAGTGGAGATCTGAAAGGCTGGATCTTAAAGTGCCATGGCTGCTTAGCGGTCGCACTGCGTTCCCGTTGATCCCGATGTCATGAGTTGGTGGAGGAGTGTGTTTGGGGAGGGAGAACCTCGACCCACTGAGCTGCTGAGAGTTTGTCTGCAAAAATAAGAAAGACTCATCACTTGCATTGTAATTTTTCAGAAACCCTACTATTCTGAGCAACATAAACAAATATTGTTGACTTCTACAATCAGGAATTGGACTTGCCATTCAAAGATTCTGTCTGGTTTTGGTAAAAAATATTGATGTAAATGTAAAAATCACTGCAATAACTATCTTGTTAATAGCATGTTGTCTAACATCTTTTGTTTTGTTGTTGCTGCATACCTTTTAATTATAGATGGGTAATATGTGTATTTCTTAAAGATGTAGGAAGTGTTATCGCGCAAATTTGAAAAAGAAACCTTCCATACTCATTATTTAATTGATTGGATATCAACCTCCTACAAAAGGTCCGTAACCGACATCATTTACAGATAATTTGTGTACCTGACTTTGTCGATGTCTGGCTCTTTCTGCCACTACATCCTGGTTCTCAAGTGAGCTGTACTGGCTGGTGGTGAAGGACTGCACACTTTTATTACTAGCTGGAGTAGACGACCTCTGCACAGTGCTGGTTAAAGGGTTGCAGGGGAGATGACGGCACTTGCGGACGATGGAGGGGTCTCCAGGTGTCTTGCTAGTCTGATCAGTACTCATCGAGCAGCGAGAGTCTCGCTTTTGACGTTGCTGGACTAACAGAGGCTCTTTGCCGAAAAGCTCTCTCCAGTTGAGGTCTGCAGGGACAGCAGGGTTCTGATTTGTTTTGGCACATTCAATGGAACTCAGAGGAATGTTGAATAAAGTTGCTTGGTTGGTGTCTCTAAGTTTAAAATGATTGCAAGGCTGTTGCTGCAACTGCTCCTTTCTACCTTCTTGGTCTCTGAACTGGAGGGGGAGGAAGTTATCCTGTGTATGGTTTGTGTCAGGTTTAAAAAGATCCCTTTGGTTTGTTTGCTGTGGTAACACCTGGCAAGTGGTCGAAGCTTGGGTGCTTTGATAGAAAGGCAGGGTGTAAGGTGAAGATGAAAGGCTTCTCTTGTCTGAAACTTTCATGAGGCTATCATCCTGGACTGTGCCCTGCTTTGATTGCGGATGAAAACTAAAAGCCTCTGGATGTTGGCTAGCATCTGTACAGGAACAACCACACCTGTCATGGTTTGGATGTTCCACACTGGTCCCTGCTCTCCCCGCTAAGGCTGAATCATCTCCTACGCTGCTAACCTGGCCACAAAGCAGCAGCCAGTCCTGATCGCTCAGCTGTGATAAGGTTAGGTTTTGTGCTGAATCTCTTGATGGACTGATCCCGTTAGATCTTTCGGGACTCGTCTCCTGCAGTGAAGAGGATGCTTCCCCAGAGGTGCCTGAGTATCGATCACGCATCCCATCAGGAGTTTTTGTCGGAGGAGCTGGACCTCCTGAGGTACAATGCTCGTGGTCCCCATCATGGAAAACTTCAGCCGTTGAGTCAAGACGTCGAGTTGCGTTGGTGGGTTTGACCAAAATCAACCTCATGGCATCACTGCAGAGCTAAAATAACATCACAAAAAGATTTTCACATGTAATTGTAAAGAAAAATTAGTAAAGGGATAGTATCCACCAATTATTGTTTTCTTTTCCCTTATATAGCCACCAACATAACCCATAAATTAGCTCAAAATCCACAGGATCCTTGAAGGATGCAAGCAGAAACATGCAAAAGGGGGCACAAATGTTACTCTGAGGAACTAGAAAAAAATATATATTAATACATAAGGCAAAAAGAAACACAGTAAAACAAAAAGTTTATTGACATAAAACTATTTTTCTTATAGTCTGTTGCATTATTTCACTTTTAAAACTCATCTGTGTTAAAAAAGCAACAATTTGTTAAATCTCAAAGTGTGTGTTCAGCTGGTTACAGATGTGACCCCCTCTCATGTTTGTCTACCTCACACAGAAAAGCTCAGAAAATAACACTGTTTCTCATATTTAACTATTATTGGAGGAAAGAAATTCAAGATCTTATCTACTAGTTGGTTATTTTACTGTAACAGTCAGTGATCTTTATTGAACAACTGAAACCCACAATCCTTTTTAGAGAAGTGCTGTTGATCCTTTTATTATGATAAGAAATGTCATCCTGATGCAACATAAATGTTTAATTCCTCAAGCTCAAAATAAAAAGGATTAGTACATTGTAATCCTGCAAATAAAATTGATGGTCACTGTTTTTTAAACTTGAGAAAATGTATTTAAGATAAAAGCATTTAGCAAGCAAGTAGTTCCTGTACTTAGTAGGACTCATGTGCTTTACAAAGGTATCATTTAAAATGAGTGCTAAAAGCTTTTTTTATGAGAGTGAACCGAATTATTCCAACATTTTCTTCAAAGTTGTCTTAATTAAGACTGTAACCCTTTAACTCCAATTTAAAAAATCATTTTTTAAAGAATTTTCCTTTTAATATATAAATATGAATTTAAATATGAACAAATCCCCACTTCTGTTGATCCTTACCTTCTTTTTCCAATTGTTATATTTCTCAAGTCTTGAAAAAGCCGGTCACTAACTGGAGATGCTCCCGGATTAGACAACAGCATTGAGAAGAAGAGCAGCGAGAGTGAGCGCTAGACAGTGGCTTGCCTCCTCCCAGTACGAACACTTGATAAAGCAGCTTTGGAGACGCTTTCCTTTGAAAGTAATGATTAGAATTCAACATGAAGAAAGAAAAGGGCAGCAGCAGCTGGCCTGGTAAAGGGTTGCCATGCAAATGGCCTAGAGTGGGAGGGAGCATCAACAGGTTAGGATGCAGAAAAACAAAAACCTGGAACATCAGACCAGAGTGTAACGGCGGAACATCACACGTACAGGCTCAAAGAAATCCCTTTAAAATGGGAGTGGACCAATTGGTTTCTATGGGAAAAGAAACAGAGCTGCTTCTCTTTCAATGCAAAAAGGGAAATAAAAGGTCAGTTGAACTTGTCATTGAAGCTCTTTGGTTCAAAGGCCTTGCACGACGAGCTCTTATCTCCTCCGCCACAACAGCCAGGCCGAACAAAAGTGGCCTTTTTTAGATCTGGTTCTGAATGAGAGCAAAGTCTCCTCAGATGTGTCCTTACAAATGAAACAACATGAACAACTTTTTCTAATAATCTTTTGAATCAATATATTACTGCAGGGTTGAGTCCTTTCTGCTTCATTTTAGGTTATGTTATCATGTCTTAGTAAATATAAGAATCAACATATTGTGAAACGTTCTGAGGAAAGTGTTGTGTCTCTTATCGTCAGTCAGAACACTGAATGTGTGACAGATTTTTTTTATTTGTTAAACTAAGGGAATCAAAAAGTCACAAAAACATACTTCAAACTGTAATTAATAGCACAGTTGTTGAAATGGTCCATACCTACATATACTTGGAAAAGAAGGCTGTGATTACAGATTTGGATTAAGTAGAAATACAGATGACAAGTTAAAAATGCTAAGCAGCATTTGGCATGTAAACTGAACTAAATACACCAGAGAATGTTGATGTTTCAATCTTCTTGTATCAAAACTATTTTACATTTTTTTGCTGGTTTACATCACTCTTTTTAATCTCTTTGTCAAAATTACAATATTCTTGTTGTTAATCTTATTTTTTTTATTATTTCTGATCAATTGTATCACATTCAGTTTTGCATGCACTTGTATATTAGACCTATATTTATTTTTAACACATTAATCATACTAGTATATTTTCTTCCTGATGTACATGAATTGTCTGTATATTTTTGTTAGCACACTTGCTTTGGAGTGCTTCTTGAGGGACCAATAAAGTATTTTGAATACAAATTGAATATTAATGAAAGACTAATGTTGTTTAAAATCTTGATTAAGTAAGCAGGAGTGGTGTTGTTTCTCCACCAAGTACGTATTGTTTTTTCTTTTGCTATTTAGATATAAAACATTAAATACATCTGAATCCTTTCAAAGTAAAGTACAAGCAAATTGCAATTTAAAATATAAAAACGTTATGCATCTGTTGATTTTCCTTATACATGTGATGTTTTGGTGTTGTTTTGTTTCTTTCCGTTAACCGTCAAGTGGGAAATAAGTATTTTTTTGTGTTTCTCTTAGTATCCTAAGATACTGTTATGTTTGTCTGTGAAAAAAAAAAAATATTATGAAGGGCAGACCATCTATTTGTATTTATTTAGTTTTTTTTAGAAAGGGGCAGGTCACATACGATTGTATTCTTCTCCCTGCTCCTTTTCGCTCAATGGTGTTTTGGTAGAGTCATGTTTTGTGGCAATTATTGTACATTTGGTTTTGCGTACCATGAGCAAATAAAAATGAAATGAAATGAAATTGTTGGCCCGAAAAATAAAAAGTATATTTCTGCATTTCCAAAAATGTTATGTTTAATCTGTAAATGACTACACTTTATCTGTATGTTACCCCTTTATTTTCAGGCTTGTGGAGAGAGCCATATAGTGAGGTTGACTCAAGGATTGTGTTAACTCCCATTTCCCAGATAACAGTGCAGATGTTTGAGCTACATTGTGTATCAGATTCACAATGTAGCTCAAACATCTGCACTGTTATCTTGCTTTACCTTTGTTACTTACATTTGATACTGATAAAGCTCAATCTTTGCTGCTTCCTGCCTCTCCACCTGGCATCACACAAACCTACAAAGCCTACAGCGTGCTGCCTCAGCAGCTCAGTGTGAGAATGTTGCTGTGCTGGAGAAAACCTTTGTGACCACCAGCAGCACGGGACCCTCCATGTTACTGCATGCTGAACTAAATCAAATGCAATAATCACTTTGATAGCTGTCAAATAGAAATCCTAAATGAATAATGCTGGACATGTTAGGGATAAACAGGAAGTATTTCCCTAATTATAATTGTGTTGTTGCAGTTAACTTCATTTAAGTTGTTGGTTTTGTTTGAGCCCACACTTAACACAGCTGTGCTTTTTCAGCAATCACCATCAAATTACAATAATGTGATACTTAAAGTCACTGCTGGCTAAAGGTAAAAGCGTCTGCTATTGGAGATAAGGGGGGCCAAATTCAGCCACTGTCAGGGGCATGAAAATGGGTAAGAAATATGATTTTGTTGACTTAACAGTGCCATATATTTGATATTAACAGGATAAAGGCTAAAGATCATACCAGGCTTTGACGAGGCTAGCCAGTGAACAATTTCTACTTGTGTGAAAACATGCCATTTGCACTTAAGGTAATGAGACCAAAGCACTTGTAACTAACTTGGCTATCCAGCCATTTCTTCGATTAAATGTGACAGCGTTGGCCATTGTTGTTGTATGCCTAAAAGTGTCAACACATTGCAGGTATCTTGTTATTGTATGTGTATTTGTTCAGACTCGTAATGGCTCATAATCCACTTGTGATCTTGTAAACAAAGATAAAACTGAAGTAATGGTTTTTGGAGCCAAGTCAGAACGTATAAAAGTTAGCGCTGAGCTTCGGTCTGCAATGTTCAAAACAACAGATAAAGCCAGAAATCTAGGTGTAGTCATGGACTCTGACCTGAGTTTCAACAGTTACATTAAAACAGTTACTAAATCAGCCTACTATCACCTAAAGAATATATCCAGGATTAAAAGACTAATGTCACAGCAGGATTTGGAAAAACTTGTCTATGCTTTTATCTTCAGTAGACTCGACTACTGCAATGGTGTCTTCACAGGTCTCACTAAAAAATCTATTAGGAAGCTGCAGCTGATTCAGAACGCTGCTGCTCGAGTCCTCACTAACACTAAGAAAGTGGATCACATCACTCCTGTTCTGAAGTCTTTACACTGGCTTCCTGTGTGTCAAAGAATAGATTTCAAAATACTGCTGCTGGTTTATAAAGCACTGAATGGTTTAGGCCCAAAATACATTTCTGACCTCCTGCTAAATGATGAACCATCCAGATCTCTCAGGTCTTCAGGGACTGGTCAGCTTTCTGTCCCCAGAGTCAGAACTAAACATGGTAAAGCAGCGTTCAGTTATTATGCTCCAAATATCTGGAACAAACTCCCAGAAACCTGCAGGTCCGCTGCAACTCTTACTACTTTTAAATCCAGGCTGAAGACTTTTCTTTTTGTCGCTGCTTTTAATTGAACTATTCACATCTTAGACTGCACTGTAACTTTTATCCATGTATTTTTTCTTTTAATGTTTATTTTATTATCTTTTCTTTTTAATGACTGATTTTAAATGCCATTTTCTTAATGTCTTTCATTTTTTGTAAAGCACTTTGAATTGCCTTGTGTTGAAAAGTGCTATATAAATAAACTTGCCTTGTCACTTCAATGTTCAATGTTAAAATGTTTTAGTATTTACCCAAAAAAACTCCTTTAAAGAAACTGTTTATTCACTTTAATTTAACTAAAAGCACAGAAAAAAGTCATTTGCAGCCATATCTATTTTGAAGCCCCCAATGTTGCTGGTGAATGGTGAGCACTACCCTGGACACACAATTATAGTCAACTTTCTCCTTATGTAGGTGGTAAAGTGTAACCCAGAATAAGCAATGCACAACAGCAGCAGATAGAACACATTTTTGACATCAGTGTGTGCCTCGGTAAGTGCGCCTACTTACAACAAATAAGGAGAAGTCTTGCATTGAAAAGCGACAAGAGATATTTTCCATCGAGTGTTGAACTTTAATAAGTTACTTTCAAATCATCTGGCTTCCCACCTCCCAAGAAGTGCTAAAAAAAAAGTATGTAATTAAATGAAATGGATGCTGAAGTGATACATTACACTCATTGTGAATTAAACAAACCAAGCCGAGTCACCTGGCATTGAAAAGTTGTTTCTTGGTGGAAAACGGTGAAGCTCTCATCAGCGACACACATTTTTAAATGAAATTATTAGAATGAATTATTAGATTTTTTTCAATGGCAGTCTCTCCTATGAGCATTAGGCAGACAGTTTTCAAAGGGGCTATTGGGAGGGGGGTGCATTCACTTTGTGTTGTAGTTGGCAAAGCGTTGGTTCAGGGGGTTATCTGGTGATTTCATCCACTCCTTCTTTAGCTGTTGCTTCAGCTGCGACAGCCTCATGTTGGGGTTCTCCTGTTTTAGGCGGGGCATGTTGACCTCCTCATAGGCGGCAAACGCTGCTTTCATCCTGCGTTCCGGGTGGTGGTCGGTGTCATCTGGCCCGGTGCTGGAGATGGAAAAAGAGGATTTAATTATGGCAAATCAACAACAAAACAATCAGTAAGGATAGTCTTGTTTTGCAGCTTATCGTCTGATCCAATCACCGGGACTTTTGAAGCGAATCTCTGTCGGTCAAGAAGTGATTTGATCCCATGCTCTTGTTTGTGTGTGTATACAAGTGTGCGCGATTTGTGTGTTTCTATGTGGATCTTCCCAAAGTGACAACCTTCAAGTCCGAAAAATTAAACCAATGCGGGAATGACTTCAACCTAAATCAGGGGTGGGGAACCTCCGGCCTCCGGGCCGTGTACGGCCCGCGAGAACATTTGGTACGGCCCTCGAGGTAATTTATTAACACACGCAAAAAAGAAAAAAATTAAAGAAATCTAGACCGCAAAAAAAATTAAACAAGTGAGTGCCTGTTTTTCCTGGCCAAGGTCATCCTACAGATGGTGTCATCACGTGGTATACGTCTCGTCTGACGGGTGCAGTTCTGACGAAGAGCACCAGAACGTCGCTCCGGCACTTCAGAAACTGCAGTATCCATAAGGAGCCGTACACATGCTGCAGTTTCTGCGTGGCTGTCTTTAGTTGAAAGCCCAGTGGCGATCTGTTCATCTGTCATACTGATCATACAGTCAATAACTTTGTTGTTATTAGCATCTGGTTAGCTAGCTATGCTAACGAATATAAGAAGCTTTTCTACAACCACTGAGGTAAAGGCACAT